TCGACTCAGTCTTAAATTAAGACTCGCTACTTTGTGTTGCGTTTTGACCAAGGATGGACTGTGCGTTATAAATTATTATTATTGTTATAGTAATTATAAGAATTAGTATTATTGTTAGTATTATAATTATTGTTATGTTTGTTAAACGTCAGCACTGGAAAGACAACGGCGGCCGCGCGTGGTGCTGCCACCCACCGCCCCATCTGCTGTGCCAGCCTCCATCGGTGCTCACGAACAGCACTTTCCCCAAAAGCCTGTTAAAGGCTCCACGGGGAGGGGATCGTTGTCTTTGTAACGTTATTGTTGTTGTTGTCGTGTGGAGTTCACCGCTACCGTGACACGAGGGGTCCCTGACCCCCCCCCCCCCCGTCCGCTCCCCCACCCCCCGCGTGTCGCTGCTGTTTGAGCCGCCGCGACCCCGGCTCGGGGTCACGGCGGCTCCACTCTGTCCCCAAACACAGCAAAGACGATGAGCAAGCACAGCGCGCACGCACCGGCCCTTCCTGTTCGCCCAGATTCTCGGGGACCCTCGCGTGTATCTAGGGGGTCTATCGGAGGTCCCTCGTGAGTCTCCAGGGGCTTTATTGGATGTTCCTCGGAAGTCTGTTGAGGTTCTGGTGGGGATCTCTCGCGGGTTGTCTCGGCGATTCACTCGGTGGGATGAGGAGGAGTCGAGGGGTAGTCAGGAGTCTTAACGGTCCGGATGACTCCCCCATCTCCCACCTCGTTTCCCCCCCACCACCGCAACACAGGGCTACGCGTGGTGCTACTCGCACAGGTACACGTGGTGGGTACACGCAGGTGGCGTAGTTGCACAGTGACGTGTCCGTGTCGTATGTACATCCACTGCTGGATGAGTTGCCGGGTTTGATTGACCATACTTCACCAGGCTGGGTCGAGTACACGTGATTTATTCACGCAAATCGTTGCACGTGGAACACTCACGCGGGTGGAGTATAAACCTCGAGGTACACGTGTACAGAACCACAACCCATGCGGTGTGTTTTGTTCACTCGTGTACACGCGGTGTGTTCACACATTCACGTGTCATAGTGTGCGAGTGTATTCACACGCCCATGTACACGCGGTGTGTTCACACATTCACGTGTCATAGTGTGCGAGTGTATTCACACGCCCGTGTACACGAGCTGTATTCACACATTTACGTGTAATAGTGTACGAGTGTATTTACACGTCAGTGTACACGCGGTGTAATTCACTCTTCTCGCCGTGCTGAGAGCGACCTCCAACGAATGAAGTCGGAATGAGAAGCGAGGAGAGGTGAGGATGATAGGGGGTGAAGAGGAGAGGTGAGGAGGGTTATGAAGTTGCGGTGAGAAACAGGGGGCGTGGTGAGGGGTAGGGGTATTGGTAAAGCTGGGTTCTCATTGGCTGGTGTTGTTCGACTTAGACACGGCTACGTTTCGATTTAAAGCTTTCGTGACTGCAATGATTCATCTTCTTTGGTTCTTTCGGTAAAGTCACGTAGAATGATAATAAAATAATAAATTGATAAAATAAAATAACACAATAATATTCTCACGACGTTTCGGCCACAACACAAGCGGCCTTCATCAGGTGAAGGGGGCGAGACTGTCTGGTAGGACAGCGCTGGAGTGAAAGAGCCACGTTCAGATACGGCCTTTAAGCTGTGTGAGAGGAACAAAGCGCCTTGACAAAGGAATTAGCATATAATTTAGCATTGAAATGGCTGAATGATTAGCTTGTGACTGGTCACAGAAATAGCTATGTTAAAAGTTAAAGCATACACACCCGCAGAGGCACCCATTGTTAAAGGAATTAGCATAGAATTTAGCATTGAAATAGCTAAGTTACGGCATACACATCTTGACAATGGAATTAGCATAGAATTTAGCATTGAGATAGCTGAGTGATTAACTTGTACCTGCTGCAGAAATAGAGCTTGTACCTCTGCAGAAATAGCTACGTTAAAGTCAGAGCATACACATTCACCGAGGCCCTTAGTACAAATCAAACAGGAGAATTTAGCATTGAAATAACTAGGCGAATCCAGCATTGAAACAACTGAGTGATTAGCTAGTGACTGGTCACAGAAATGACTACACATCTGAGCTATTCACAGTACTATATAGTGAACCAATAAAAACTAAAATATAAATTATCTTCATGTTATCAATAAACTCTATATTCTCCAATCAGCTAAGCTACCAACAATAAGTCGTTATATATCACAATGCTATATGGCGAAAAAATGGGTGGATTCTTACCTTCAAATTTCAGTACCACGGATAGCTACGGGCCCCGTTCAGACGGACGAGTTCGTCCATGGTCGGAACAGAGGAGGGGGAAAGAGACAGCTGCGAGGCCCTAGTATGCTCCATGTTGTAAAACTATACCATTAACCGTGGTGTGAGAGGTATTAAGAGGCAATGCTGGCGAAAGAGCTGCGGTCTGAAGGTCATCGTAAAAATACAATTAATTAAGAACAGAAATGATTTAAAACATCTTTCCAGTGGTTACTAAGCCAGTGGTTACTAATCATTCAGCCATTTCAATGCTAAATTATATGCTAATTCCTTTGTCAAGGCGCTTTGTTCCTCTCACACAGCTTAAAGGCCGTATCTGAACGTGGCTCTTTCACTCCAGCGCTGTCCTACCAGACAGTCTCGCCCCCTTCACCTGATGAAGGCCGCTTGTGTTGTGGCCGAAACGTCGTGAGAATATTATTGTGTTATTTTATTTTATCAATTTATTATTTTATTATCATTCTACGTGACTTTACCGAAAGAACCAAAGAAGAAAACGGCTACGTTGTGGTTGCGCCTGTGTGGTTGTGACCACAACTATGAGGGATCGGCGTACGGCTCTGACCCGACACCCGCACCAGGGCAGCGGGACCCTGGCTCCTCTGCGGATGACCAAGGTGGCAGAGCAGCCGCCCAGAGGCAGTGGCACCCACAAGGCCCGCGGTAAGAGCGGCTCCAGCGAGAGCACCGCTCTGGCCACTACCGCCTGCCACGCGAGGTGGCATCACCGCATCGGGCCATGATGGCATCACCACCTTGAGGGGTTTGGTTGGCCCCCGTGGTTCGGGCTAAAGGTGGGGATGAGGCTGCCTGCCGTGGTTTACATTACCCCAATGGGATTTCATACAAAAAAAGCAGCATCGCCCCCTACTGGAGAACTTGAGACTCAGAGTTGGGGGGTGACCTGGCCGAGAGGTATCGCGCTCGCTGCTTGTTGGAGAGATTCACGGCTTGATTACAGCGGCCGCGCTGATTAATACTGCGCGTGCATTAACGCTGACCTATTCTACGCTACATCTGCGTCAAGGAGGACGTTAAAAGATCCCCTGACATTATGCGCAAGAGTAGGCCATTGTGTGTCGGCGTCATGGCCCAAATTAGAAAAAAAACACCCGCAAATGACTAAATTGAAATGACACGGGAGTAATTATCGCACCGAGCTGTGAAAACTCGACAGGACCCTTCACCTCACATGCGATGAAAGCAATGCGTTCATGAACGTATCGCTAACGTCGAGGTCTGCTGGCCATGAGAGGGCTCCAGGAGAGAGAGAGAGTCGTTTTGCTGTTCCTCCTCCGTTGAAGGAGCGCAGATGACAGTGGTTTACCACGTGGTGCATCGTTTGTGTTGTATGGCCACAGTCGCACTCCTGTGGCTTGTATCTTTCATTTCACATTCATGGAGATAGGCGCAGGAGCCTGCCGATGTCCTGATGCAGTTGGCGGAGCGAACCGAGTGTCTTCGAGGAGGCATTGTCAAAGCCATGGGGTGCGATGTTTTGGTCCCGAATGAGGTGTTTTTTTGTATTTTCTGGACGCTGGCCTTGTTTCACTCTGTTCGCCAGCGTCCTTTGAAATCTGGGTGAGATTCAAGGATGATGAGAGCATCGCGATCCCAGACGGGGGATCGGGACTTGAGTCGGTGTCGAGATGCATTGTGGAGGTGTTGGTTGACGATGGGTCGGTGGTTGCAGTTGGCAAGAAAACGTGCGAACTCCCCTGTAGTGTGCGCGATGTCTCTGCGGATATTTGGCGCCAGAATGCTCGCCAGAACCGGGCGCCGGGGGTTGCCATCGGTTTCACGACGCACCTGCAGAAATACCCCTGAGACGCAGTGAGGCTTTCCTGGGTAAACACGCGGAATGATACTACATGGGGTGAGGCCGGTGTACAGGGTGAGGCTACTCTGCTCGCCCATCACAGGGAGCTCATCCTCACCCTGGTGCGAATCTCAGCAGAGCGAATACCCCCCCCCCTCTCTCTCCCCCCCCTCTCCCTCCCCCTCTCCCCCCTCTCTCCACCCCTCTCTCCCCCCCCCTCTCTCTCTCCACCCCCCCCCCCCCTCTCTCCCTCCCCCTCTCCCCCTCTCTCTCTCCCCCTCTCTCCCCGGGGCACCGCAGAAGCAGCTGCGCGGCGCCCCCTGCTGGGCGCGGAGAGGAAATTCAAGGCGAGATTCATCAGGTGAGAGGTCAGGTAGGCGAGGGATCAGGTGAGGGTCAAATTATTGTGAATAATAATCTTTATTTCGACTGCAGGAGGAGGAATCCGATGAGCTATGAAGTTTTTTCACATGTCCAGTAGGGGCGGGTCAGAAAGTTACAACAACAAAAATAGGTGCGCTTTAAGGCCACGTGAAGTGTCGAAAGCCAACTGACAGGAGATCACAAAACAGACCAAAGTGCTATGAGTTGACTGACTGAGATGACTAGCAGATGCACCAGCTGTGCCCCCTACTGTACCAACTTGCTGTGTTCGCCAGGCGCTGCGCTCGTTTTGGTGAGCGCCGATCCTCTGCTGCTCGAAGGCGACTTTCCAGCTGCCCAGCAGCGTCCCTCACAAACCTCCTCCACAGAGGGCGATCTTGACACTGCTGATACCACTCATAGGCTGCCCCTCCCACTCAAACCCCTGCCCCTCCCACACCTGCCCGTCCCACACCTGTCACTCACACACCTGCCCCTCCCACCCCTGTCACTCACACATCTGCCCCTCCCACTCAACACACCTGCCCCTCCCACATCTGTCACTCACCTGTCGTCAAATTATCGCGAGGCGAGATCTCGCGCTGTGAGGGTGTAAACGGAGCGCGAGGAAGGTCAGGAGTTGTGTGCTCAACTTTAACACCATCGACATCATCATCTACAACATCATCTACAACATCAACATCGAACTTTCCAGAGGTAACCACGAGCGTCGTGGTACGACTCAGGTACGCGCGTGTTTTCGTTCGTGAGTGTGTACATGTGTGTGTGTGTGAACATGTGTGTGTGTGAGTGCGTGTGTTTGTATGTTAGTATAGTGGGAAGCGGTAGTGTAGCGGTTAGCGCGCTGCGCTATGAACCTGGCGACCCGGGTTCGATTCCCACTCACGGCCAACACCAGTGGCGATTATCTGAACCGGTCCTGGGCCTCCCCTAGGTCGACTCAGCCTCAAATGAGTACCTGGTGCAGTGTGTAAACATTGCCACTGGTGCTGGCCACCCACCCCCTCGTGTACCGTTCCGGCCTTCATAGGTGCTCGCTAACAGCACTTGCCCCTACAGTCTGTTAAGGCTATACGGGGGATCTTTGTGTTAGTATGTACGTGTGTGCCAAAGTGAGTGCGTGTGTGTATGGCTGTGAGCGTGTCAATGCGCCTGTATGGGTAAATGAGAGTTTTTTGTGTGGATGTGCATGAAACCGAGTTTGATTCCTGCTCACGGCCAACGATTATCTGAACCGGAGACAAAGGCGGCCGGTCGTGATGCTGGCCACTCACCCCCTCGTGTACTGTGCCAGCCTAGATAGGTGCTCGTTAACTGCACTTGCCCCAACAATACGTTAAAGGCTATACGGGGGGACTTTGTCTTTGTGCGTTTGTGTGCGTGGGCGCGTGTACAAATGCGCCATAAACGATCGACCCCGGAGTCACGTACCACCCCTACCCGCAAGGTTGATACTCCGATCTTAAAGTACAGACTCCATCTCTCTTAGCCCTTCGAGAGCATCGTTGCAATGGCCATCACGAACATTCACGCAGTAATTATATTGAATACATCATTAGAACTGCGTTGGCAGGGACGATGGGCACGCGGATCTCCCAAATAAAGAAGCTTAAGCAACAAGTGTTTGGGTAACGTGCTGTCTTCAGATGCGAGAGAGAGAGAGAGGAGGGGACAGAGAAAGCGAGAGACTTGCGTCTCACGATATCTGATTACTCTGTGGAGGCGAGATGTGAACACTGCGGGCCCATCTGTGGGGCCCTGGGTCTGTGTGCATGACACCACCGGGATCGTGTTCCTGTGCGTCCCACGGTCTCCGTGGAGATGTGGGACAGCCGTCCACCCCAACCCGCCGCGCGTCGCGATTCCCGATGCTAAAGTCCGCGCCGCGTGGCCGACGCGCCTCTCCCACCCCTCCACCGCACCCGTGCCTCGGGAGACGATGACATGATGCTGATGACGGTGATGGCGCTTATGTTGAGATATTCATGAGATGATCGAGTTCTGATGCTGGTAATGATGAGATGATGTCTCGAATGATGATATGGTGATGATGTGATGAGATTATGATGATAATTGGGAGTCTGGGGCTGTAATTTGATCCCTTGCATGGAGGTGGTGGGGGTTGGTGGATCACGCTAAGATTGTAGTGTGTGTCAGACTCCCCGCATCACCCCCCCCCCCCTACAGAGCTACGAGGTGGACAGTAGATTGCAGAAGAGCAAATAAGTTGCTGGCATACACAGGCGGAGTTCTGAGACCTCATTCGCTGGTCGTGTGGCTTTCAAAAAGATGTTTCCGCGTATTTCCCATTCCTTGAAACAAAACAAACACGACTCGCCTGGCAAAACAATGCAACGAAGGACCCTCCTGAGTCATGGGACCCAGTGAGGTATGTTCTGAATGAAGGAACCGGTATATTGTTATAAACCACACGGAACGCTTCCTCGTCGAATCTCAGAAGCAGACTTCAGCCTGGATATTGATTGGATGGATGACCACTATGCATACCACACGCTTCGCCACGCACTTGCATGCCACTTGCATGGCTCATACGTCTAAGGCAGAGGGCAGTGCAGCAAAATTCATTGTTACACTGTAATCTGCTGCCATGTCACCAACTCACACTAACCAGCTCGGTGAAGTATGGCCAAATAACCCCAAGGACCTACACCGTGTGGAGAGGTTCTCCATTTAGCAGTTGATTAACAACAGGACTATGCATGGGCTAATCACAATCATCAACAGCCATGATTACTCCACTGCTGGACGAAAGCCTCCCCATATACTTGCACTCTTACAATTGTTCAGACGTGGCGGTGTAGGACCCTCTTAATGGACGGGCCTAGGACTCGGCCTAGTGGTCGGCAGGCACGCCGCGTGTACTGGGGCTGTGCCTCCATCATCCTCTAGCTCCATCTCTCTCGACGCGGATGCCTTCGTGTTGTGTACCCAGTGCTGTGCACACGCGCATCGCTCCAGCGCTTCATCCACTACAGCAACACGAGCTCGCAATACAGAGAAGTGGGCAGCATCGCATGCACCAAAGCTGTCAGCCTTATCCAGACCACCTGCTCAAAAGAACCGAACGTGTGGCGACGTCGTCCAAACTGTTGCGATGGCCACATTCTCTCAACCGTTCGAGTCGGCGGTCAAAGTGACCACACGGCCACGCGTTTAATTCTTGCGAGCCGGCTGTCTGGACAAGGCTTTTATCGCATTGCGTTCGCAGAACCCGTGGCCGCCGAATGTCCTCCACGCCCCTCCGCACGGCCCCTGAGCACGGCGCCATGCAGAGCGACGAGTCCGAGGATGAGTACGACGCCACCGAGATGAAGCGCCTGGTCAACGACCACGACGCCGGTGCGGGCGTCCTCTCCGAGCCGCAAAAGAGGCGGCGTTCTCGCCGGGGTCCGGACGAGGCGCCGTGCGCGGCCTGCACGTGGACGCGCGCCCTGGGGCTGTGCGCGGGCGTCCTCGTGCTGTGCGTCGCGGCGGCCTCGTTCGCCTACCTCTCGGGCGACTCCGGCCACACCGTGGTGGACGTGAAGCTGCCGGACGGCGTGGCGCTGCGCGGCCTCCACAGCACCTTCGCCTACGCCTTCCTCGGCATCCCCTACGCCGCGGCGCCCGTGCGGCGCTGGGAGCCGCCCCGCAGCGTGCAGGGGGCCCTCTGGAACGGGACGTACGCGGCCACGGCCTACGGGTCGCCCTGCGCGCAGCGGGGCCCCGCGGGCGAGGTGCTGGGCCGAGAGGACTGCCTCTACCTGAACGTGTGGACCCCCACCCTGGGTGGCGCTGCGCGGCTCCCCGTGATCGTGTGGCTGCACGGGGGCCACCTGACGAGGGGCAGCGGCCACGAGGAGGGCTTGGCGCCCGGGGAGGAGACGGCGGCGCAAACCAACGCCGTCTTCGTCAGCCTCAACTACCGCCTGGGCGCGCTCGGCTTCCTGGCTCTCAAGGAGCTGTCGGACGAGAACCTGGAACACACTTCGGGTACGCGGGTCTGGGGGTCATGGCCTGGGGGTCTCCGTTTAGGGGTCTGGGTTTGCTCTCTTGTAGAAGATAGGGTGCCAGGCCACGTGTCTGTGTCACTAACACGTGGCGCCTGGCCACTGCGCTCTCTATCTCAAATTAAGTGCATTCAATGTCCACTACTTCTGTGCAACCCTTCATGCCTGCACCTGTGCTGCCCCCGTGGCTCCTTGTCCCGCATCTCCCTGCCCCCACGCAGGTAACTACGGCCTTATGGACCAACTGAAGGCGCTCAGGTGGGTACAGAAAAACATCGAGGTCTTCGGCGGAGACACCGGCAACGTGACGCTGCTGGGATACGAGGCGGGTGCGTGACCCCCCACAGTGCCACCAGAAGCCCACCCCCCCCCCCCGATTATATCAAATCCCCTTTCTTCTGCCAGTGGCTGCACTTGAGAGAGACTCGGTCTCATTATGCCACCACTCCCCCGCTCTCTCACCTGGAGCCCCCCTCGCCAGGTACACAGGGTACCTCTGCCGCCCCCCACGGGGGAGGAGTTGAACCTCCCCCTGCTGCCCCCCACCCCAACCTAAGATCAGATGGTGGAATGAGAGTGTCACGACAGATCTTTGAGGTCGCTGTGCATCCATCTCCTCCTCAGTGGCGGCGAGTGACATCTCACCCGGTTTTTGGTGACTCCCCCTCCCCCCCCCCCCAGGTGCGGTGTGCGCCCTGGCTCTGGCCTCGTCTCCCGCCGCCCGCGGCCTCTTCTCGCGAGTCGTGGCCATGAGCGCCTCGTGCCGCATGCTGCAGCCCAGCCTACGGGAGGCCGAGGAGCGTGGCCGCTCCGTCTACAACGGCACGAGCTGCGGCGACGGGGACCTCGCGTGCCTGCGTGACGCCGAGCTCACCAGCCTCCTCGCGGTACCGCCCTGGGCCGGGAGCGGGGGGGGGGCGGCGGGGGTCTGGTGTGGTCGAGGTGGAGATGGTGGCGTGAGTGGTGTGGCTGGTGTGGTGGGGTGAGTGGTGTGGCTGGTGTGGTGGGGTGAATGGTGTGACTGGTGTGGTGGGGTGAGTGGTGTGGCTGGTGTGATGGGGTGAGTGGTGTGGCTGGTGTGGTGGGGTGAGTGGTGAGTGGTGTGGTGGGGTGAGTGGTGTGGTGGAGTGAGTGGTGTGGTGGGGTGAGTAGTGATAGAAGAGTTACAGGGGAGCGATGGAACGGCGCCGAGAGGGAATCGTTGAGCGCTGGTTCAGCACATTAACACAACTGCTGAATTTCAGCAAATCGTCGCGTACGCGTTTGCAATTCGGCCACGTACATTAATCGATGCCACGCAAGTTTACGCACCTCACGTGGCATTGACAAGTGGAATATCTGGTCTGGGCACATCGGCCATAAAGAATTTGCTGACGGTGCACGAAGAGTTACAAAGAGCGCGACTCGAGACGCGAGCTCCGGGCAGAGGAGGGGCAGAATGCGCGGAATCTCCATGTGACGCTCGGCACGCCAACACGGGGGTCACCGGGGGTCCTACAGCGAGTGAATGTCTGGGGGTACGTGTGCAGTGAAGTTGTATGTGCCATGCAGCCCTTCATTGGTGCTCGCGAACAGCACTTGCCCCAACAGTCTGTTAAGGCTATACGAGGGATCTTTGTCTTCGTGAAAACCTGTGCACGTGACCCGCACCACCCGTGCGGAGTAGAAGCACCCCTGTACCACCTGCCATTGCCACTCCATCATTCCGCATGGCCTCACAAGGTGCACCACGCCTGGCACGTGCTCTGAACGCCGCCCGCTCCTGTTCCTACCGCGTAGGCATCCCCATTCGAGGACTACGCCGCATGGGAGGACTCGCGTCTCGCCTCGGATTTCCCGGCCCCCAAAAGCGAGGAGGAGCCCCCCTTTTTCCCAGCCGTAGTGGACGGGTGCCTCGTGCCCACGCCGCTGGCGCAGGGCATCTCGAGGGTGAACGTCTCCCTGGTGCTGGGTAACACGCAGCAGGAGGTGGCCATCAGGTGAGAGAAGGGACAGAGAGAGAGAGAGACAAAGGTCCATTAGCATTGATACTCACGCTCGCGATGTACAAATACAACCCCCCCCCCCTCCCGTCCCCTACGAGGGATACCAGGGGGACTGTGTAGATTGTAGTATCGCAAGAAGGTTGATGACCTATAGGTGTAGAGGTTTGAGAGACTATCCAAGATGCTGTCCACGTGCTTTCATGCCCCCCAAGAACATTCCTCACCTACGCGGCCAAACGTCTCAACGCAGGAGCCTCCTGATAAGCAGTCACGAGACTCGGGCTTCGAGTCGTAAAATGCGGCTCTACACACGCGCGGCCCTTTTATCAAACCACTGCTGGATGAGGGCCTCCCCCGCGCCATGTGCGTCGTGGGGGTTACTTGACCATACTTCACCACGCTGGCCAGTGCCGGTTGGTGAATGTGGGGGGCGCAGCCCCCACCTCGTGGCCCCGCGAGCTCTGAGACCGCCGGGTCACGCGCGGTGGTCAACCATCCAACCACCATCCAGGCTCAACCCTGCTTAGCTTACCAGATCGGGTGGGATTGGGCGTATTCTGGTCAGGTTGGGTCCGATGACGTGCGATGTCACGTTTAGGTTACTGGAGGGAACAGAACTGTAAACAAACGACCATCAATTGACACGGGGAGGCATAGACGAGATACAAATTCAATCGCTGCTCTGAATCAAGAGTGAGGCAACTCTTCTGAACGCACACACACATGCACGCAGACACGCACGCACACACGCACGCAGACACGCATGCAGACACGCACGCACACACGCACGCAGACACGCACACACACGCACGCAGACACGCACACACACGCACGCAGACACGCACACACACGCACGCACACACATACTAACCGTTTAGATCACATGCACTGGTGCGGATCGAACTCATTTGATCAGAAATTATATGGCAAGCCACGTTTCAGGCATGGACCCTTCACAGCACATGTAGTAAATATGTTGTACTTTGTGGCAGTGTGTTATTGACGAATGCTATGTGCTAGTGTTGTCTGTGCCAGGGCAGTGCCACAAAACATTGTTGAATCGATCGGAACAACGATCAATAGAACACAGATCAGGCAGTACGATCACTGCGAGTCTGATCGGAACACAGATGCTCGGCTATTGGGAACAGCTGGCTCGGATAGTGCAGGGGCGTGTGGGCGTGTGTGTACGTACATCTGTCTAAACATCACCACTAGGGAGACAAAGGCGGCCGGGCGTGGTGCTGGCCACCCACCCCCTCGTGTGCCGTTCCGGCCTTCATAGGTGCTACTCGCTAACAGCACTTGCCCCTACAGTCTGTGAAGGCTACACGGGGAATCTTTATTGTTGATGTTGTGTCTTTGTGTGTGCGTGTTCGCTGTTTCTGTAGACCGCCCTACCCCGAGATGGATCGGTGGACGGCGGAGAATTTCAGCTCCACCCTGATGGGTGAGCAGGGGTGCGGGGGCTAAACCCCGGGGTGGCTCACGGTGTGCGCGGAATGGAGGTGGGGGAATTGAAGAGACGCGATGTTAAAAACTATTTTAAAAACAATCGCAACCCGGGCGAACACGCCTGGCCTCTAGGGTCGGGGCAAGGGTGCGATGGTGGGAACGGGGCATTGTCATGGTAGCGGCGTGGTGTGCCGAGAGGGTGTGGAGGGGAGGGGAGTAGAGGGGAGGGGTGTGGAGGGGAGAGAGTGTGGAGGAGAGGGGAGTAGAGGGGAGGGGGTGTGGAGGGGAGGGGAGTAGAGGGGAGGGGGTGTGGAGGGGAGGGAGTGTGGAGGGGAAGGGGGTGTGGAGGAGAGGGGGTGTGGAGGGGAGGTGGTGTGGAGGGGGTGTGGAGGCGAGGGAGTTGTGGAGGGGAGGGGTGTGGAGGGGAGGGGTTTGGAGGGGAGGGGGTGTGGAAGAGAGGGGGTGTGGAGGGGAGGAGAGTAGAGGGGAGGGGGAGGGGAAGGGGTGTGGAGGAGAGGGGGTGTGGAGGGGGAGGGAGTGTGGAGGGGAGGGGTGTCGAGGAGAGGGGGTGTGGAGGGGAGGGTGTGTGGAGGAGAGGGAGTGTGAAGGGGAGGGAGTGTGGAGGGGATGGAGTGTGGAGGAGAGGGAGTGTGAAGGGGAGGGAGTGTGGAGGGGATGGAGTGTGGAGGAGAGGGAGTGTGAAGGGGAGGGAGTGTGGAGGGGAGGGGGTGTGGAGGAGAGGGGGTGTGGAGGGGAGGGGGTGTGGGGGAGAGGTATGCCCCAGGGTAGTGCTGCTGCGGTTTGACGTTTGGTTTTGGGGGACTGCTAGCCCTGACCAAAACCACCCTGTACCCCCGTACCTCTGGGCCCCTCTGTCCCCTTGTACACTGCCCCATACCTGCCGACCCCCATTTCCCCTGGCCACGCCTGTGAGCCTCTTACACTTGCATCTTGAATCTTGACCTAAAGCTTTCGTGACTGCAGGAATTCATATTCTTTGGGTCTTTCGGTAAAGTCACGTAGATAGGTTCAAAGAAAATAACGAAATACTACGACGTTTCGATCGCAACACAAGCGGTCGCCATCATGAAAAGGGAGTTAGCCTCTAAAGGCAAACTGTTTATAAAGGTTTAAAATGGGCGTAGCCCAAGTGTCAGCAGCATGGGCGGGGTAGCTCATGTTAATGGCAGGGATTAAAAACGGTGTGCTCTAGCATGTAGGGCGGTGCTAGATGGTAGTAGTGGGTAATGATGGTACTGGTGGTGGGCTTCCACCAATCAAGGACTACTGCTAGCGGTGATGGTAGTAGTGGGTAATGATGGTGCTGGTGGTGGGTTTCCACCAATTAAAGGGCTGCCAGGTCTAGAGTGGAAACATTACAGCCGGTTATGACTTAAACTGGTTGATAATGTCCTTCCAGTGATTGCTGAGTTTGTACCCATCTTCTTGGTTGAAATTGTGTCTATGTCTGTATATAGAATGGGTTCATGAACTAATCTTTGTTGATAGCCAGTGGGTTTGCAAAGTACCTTCGTCTTAGAGAAATCTATTTCGTGTGAGCCAATCGCATTAAAACAATGATCAGCCACGGCTGAGGTATTGGTCCTACCGTGTTTCAGATCTACCTTATGTTCACGAACACGGTCTGAGACATGTCGCTTAGTTTCCCCAATGTAACTACTGCCGCAGACACAGCTGAGTTTGTAGACGCCGGGGTATTGCATGTCAGGGATCACATCCTTCACAGATGGGATCAGATCACGAATTGTATGTACTGTGTTAAACCGAACCTGGATCTTGTGCTTGCTCATGATTTTGGAAATCTTTTTGGTGACCCCTGCTATGTATGGCAAGGTGATGGTTTTGATTGGGTCCTCGGATGGTTCTTTCCCAACGGTTGGGGTGATAGCTTTACAGATTGTGTAGTCTGAATATCCATTCATCTTGAGAGCTTGGTGTACGTGCTCCAGTTCACTGGCTAGGTGGTGATGGTCGGAAATACATCGAGCTCTATGGTTTAGAGTTTTGATGAGGGAATTATTCTGGGAAGGATGGTGGTGGGAGTCAGGTTTTAGATATGCATCCGTATGGGTGGCTTTCCTGTAGACAGTGTCCCATTGAGCCATCTGGTCTATTTTCGATTAGAACATCCAAGAATGGTAGCTTGCTGTCCTTTTCCACCTCCATGGTGAATTTGATGGCTGGGTGTATGGAATTGATGTGGTTGAGGAATTGGTTCAGAGCTGGTCGGCCATGTGGCCAGATGACGAACGTGTCATCTACGTACCTCTTCCACAAGAACGGACGTAGAGTGGATGCCTGGATGGCATCTGTCTCAAATTTTTCCATGAAAACATTGGCTACAACTGGAGATAAGGGAGAACCCATTGGGATGAAAACTCACCACCAGCACCATCACTGCCCATTACACCATCTAGCACCGCCATATATGCTTGGGAACACCTTTTTAATCCCTTACATTAACATTAGCTACCCTTGCCCATGCTGCTGACACTTGGGCTACGCCAATTCTAAACCTTTATAAACAGTTTGCCTTTAGAGGCTAACCCCCTTTCCCTGATGACGATTGCTTGTGTTGCGATCGACGTGACTTTACTGAAAGACCCAAAGAATACTTGCATCTTGGTTTAAACGACATCTGTCTCCGTATCTACATGTCATGTGTCCCATGTGTCTCTGTATCCTGCATACCCTTACCCCGATGTCTCTGTGTCCCCTACGTGCATGTCTCGCCTGTGTCTGTCTCCCCATGTCCCCCGTGTCTGTCTCCCCGTGTCCCTCTATGCTCTAACCTCATGTCCTTGCGTCCCCTACACGTCCCCGTACCCAGAGAGGATTGAGAACCTGGACCCAGGGCGGCTGTCCCAGCTGCTGCAGCTCTACCCCTCGGACTGCCCCCCGCCCTGCCCCGGAAAGCAGTACTGCACCGCGGTCAGCGACCTCAAGGTCACGTGTCCGCTCGATGACCTCGCCAACGCGACCCGGAGCAGGCAGTGGGTCGCTGGTGAGGGGTGTGCGTTTCCCTGTGTACACAGCAACGCGTGTCAGTGTGAGTGTGTGCGCAACACTGTGTACTAGAGTGGGGAGCCGTTGCGCAGAGGTAAGAGTGCTGCGTTACGAACCCGGCAAACACCCGGGTTTGACGCCCACTCAAGGCCACCAACACCAGTCACGATTATCTAAACCAGTCCTGGGCCTCTCATAGGTCGACTCAGCCTCAAATAAGTACTTGGTGTGATGCGTAAACATCAGCCCTCGGGATACAAAGGCGGCGGGGCGGTGTGTTAGCCACCCACCCCCTCGTGTGCTGTGCCGGTCTTGCATGACTGTGTACAAGCAGCGGGTGCGTGTCCCATCTTCACAGCGATAGCCAGGACGGGGCACGGGGACACTGCGCGTGGAGACACAAATGAGACAGGAGCCAGGCGGATGGGACGAGGGATGTGAAACGTGGAGATGGAACCCCCCCCCACCCCTCCCCATCTTCCCTGCAGGCTCGCCCTCCCCCCGTGTGTACCGCTACGTGGCTGCGTTTGTCCCCGAGTGGGGTGCCGAGGCGTCGCAGCGGCCCCTGTTCGCGGCGCGGGGCACGGACGCACGCGCTTTCCTCGGCACCCTGAGCGCCGGGGGGGCCAAAATCCACGACCGCGAGTGGGGGTTCACGCGGCTCGTGCGCTACTACCTGATGCGCTTCATCTCCACAGGTGAGACTCCCCGCACGAGCCGCTTTGGCGACCCTGACCCCGCACGACAGACTGGTGGGACAAGCGCTGTTAGCGAGTATCACCCACGAAGTCCGGCACGGTGCACGAGGGGGTAGTGTGACCAACGCCACACCCGGCCGCTTTGGTTTTCTCAGTGGTGATGTTTACAGGCCAGCCAGATACTTGGCTATGGTCAAGTCCACCAAGAGAAGACCCTCTTGTACCCCGTGTACCCCACGTGTACTCTCATGTAGCTCACATGTACCCTACGTGTACCCTACGTGTACCTCACTTGTACCCCACGTGTACCCCACGTGTACCCTACGTGTACCCCACGTGTACCCTACGTGTACCCTACGTGTACCCCACGTGTACCTCACTTGTACCCCACGTGTACCCTACGTGTACCCCACGTGTACCCTACGTGTACTCTCATGTAGCTCACGTGTACCCTACGTGTACCCTACGTGTACCCCATGTGTACCCTACGTGTACCCTACGTGTACTCTCATGTAGCTCACGTGTACCCCACGTGTACCCCACGTGTACCCTACGTGTACCCCACGTGTACTTCCCGTGTGCAGGCTACATGCCGGATCAGTGGCCCGAGTGGCCGGGCGCCGCGCTGCTCTCGGATGAATTCACTCCGCGCCACGTCTCCGTGAATGAGTGCTGCGAATTCTGGAGGCAGAGCTCCGAGCAGGGTCCAGCGAGAAAATAACGAGGTGCGGATACCTGTGTGACGACACACCTGTACATCTGTGTGATTATGCAGCTTCACACAACAGTGCTCCCGTGTGATTACACACCTGTACATCTGTGTGATTATGCAGCTTCACACAACAGTGCTCCCGTGTGATTACACACCTGTACATCTGTGTGATTATGCAGCTTCACACAACAGTGCTCCCGTGTGATTACACACCTGTACATCTGTGTGATTATGCAGCTTCACACAACAGTGCTCCCGTGTGATTACACACCTGTACATCTGTGTGATTATGCAGCTTCACACAACAGTGCTCCCGTGTGACGACACACCTGTACATCTGTGTGATTATGCAGCTTCACACAACAGTGCTCCCGTGTGATTACACACCTGTACATCTGTGTGATTATGCAGCTTCACACAACAGTGCTCCCGTGTGATTACACACCTGTACATCTGTGTGATTATGCAGCTTCACACAACAGTGCTCCCGTGTGACGACACACCTGTACATCTGTGTGATTATGCAGCTTCACACAACAGTGCTCCCGTGTGATTACACACCTGTACATCTGTGTGATTATGCAGCTTCACACAACAGTGCTCCCGTGTGACGACACACCTGTACATCTGTGTGATTATGCAGCTTCACACAACAGTGCTCCCGTGTGATTACACACCTGTACATCTGTGTGATTATGCAGCTTCACACAACAGTGCTCCCGTGTGATTACACACCTGTACATCTGTGTGATTATGCAGCTTCACACAACAGTGCTCCCGTGTGATTACACACCTGTACATCTGTGTGATTATACAGCTTCACACAACAGTGCTCCCGTGTGATTACACACCTGTACATCTGTGTGATTATGCAGCTTCACACAACAGTGCTCCCGTGTGATTACACACCTGTACAGACATCTGCACATTACACACGTGAATGTTCATGTTGTATGTGCACGTGTCGCTAACACGGCTAATGATTGCTCTCCCCCTCCCCACCCTACGCCTCCTCCCCCCACCACCCCAACCTGTGCGTGCAGACCCTGCGTGCCGTGGGGCTCCCCAGTCATTGCGCCCCCCTCTACCCCCAGAGCACCTTGCACGCCAGGGGCAATTGGGGAGGCGGGTGGGGGTCGGTGGCTAGGAGCGGATGAGTCCCCCGGTAGAGGTGGGGGGGGGGGGTCCTGCACCTCCCTCTTCTCACCCTGGAAAGGGGGGCATGCGGCTCCGGGGTTACAAACTCTGGTCTCGGGGTCATGGTCGGGGGGACTTGGGGTCATGGGCAGCGATGTCAGGATCACGGGGAATGGTCAGGTCAATTGAGGTGTCTCTAATTAACCTGGACTATAATGGGCGGGCTGAAGACACTTTATTCTATGATGATGTGATGATGATGGTGGTGGTGATGATGTTGGTGGTGGTGATGATTGGATTTTTTATTTAATGATTTTTTTACGTTACCCGAGGGATTCACTCTGGGGGCGGGGTGGGGGTGTCGGCAAGACTCAAATAAAAGCCCTCACTGGATGTTGATGATGATGGTGGTGATTTTGGTGGTCATGGTAGTGATGGTAATGGCGATTTTCAAGATGGAGATGATGGTCGTGGTGCTGTTGATGGTGGTGGTTATGATGATAGTGTTATGGTGCTGATTTTGATGCTGATTTATATGATGGTAGTATTGCTGATTTTGATGACGATCTTGATTTTGATGATTGTGGTGATTCATATGATGGTAGTGATTATGATTGTGATTTTTTTTGATGACGTAGATGATGGTGCTTTGATGGTGACTATAATGTTGGTGGTGAGTTTGATCTCAGTTGTCATGATGGTATTGATGACGTGGTGAAATATGGTCCAACAACTCCCGACGACTGGCGCAGGTTGAGAGGGCTCTCATACAGCAGTGGATTGACGAGGCTTGTACGCGTGCATGGAGATGCGTGGGGAAGCGGTTGGTCCAGTGCCGGGGTTGAGCTGGTGGAACCTAGCATTAGATTTGAGCAAAAATGGGAAAAACTACATACTGTACAAGTGTGCGCACGTGTCCACCACACTGATTTGAGAAGTCCCGGCGAGGCATCTCCAGGATCCAGGCTCGAGAATCCCGGCTCTACAATCCACACCATGTACTCAAAGGGTCCATTAAATCTGCTGTGTGCAGCTGCTGGGATAATTGAGCAGGCGTCCAGCAGTGGATCTAGCATGGTGACGACACCAGACTTTCCCCGTGTCGGTACCGCCTGCACCTGACGCCGGATGAACCATGGCACCAGTTCTTATGAACGACGACACTAAAATATGAGACGCAGCAATGTAGGTGGCAACCTCGCTTCGGTTCCCAGCCACGGCTGAGATCAGTGACGAGTGGCATCCCAACCTGCCCCGGGCTCCGACTTGACCCACCTGCACACTGACCGGCGTGGTGAAGTATGGTTAAACAACAGGAGGCGACGCGACAGCGGGGGAGCACGCGAGGGAGGAGGGGAGAGAGGGAGGGATGGGGATACGTTGTGGAAGGCTCTCCTGTTCTCGCCTATTGCAGCAGCAGCATATTTAGACGATCCGCGCCGAGGCCTGCTACTCTGTTTTAACGAGGTCGTGGAAGAGATTGAAGGAGGCGATGCAGCGAGAGTGAAGGAGAGCGAGGGGAGGTGAGCGGGATTGGAGGAAGGATTTAGGCAGAGGGGGAGGGGGGAGACGGACATCGTGGTAGGGGGTGGGGCCGTGGGACAGATTCTAGGAGGAGGAGGGGTTAGGGACGAGTTGGGGAGGGGATAAGGAGGGGTTATGAAAGAGGCCTGGGAAGGGGTAGGGAGGGGTTCGTGATGTGTGGTGGGGGGTCTGGCATCGCGTCTCGTGGCCTAGGAGACCGGGGTCGCGTCGCAGGCGGAAACGCGAGCGACCGCTCGGGGCTCCGGGGACACCGATCCAGAGCACGACCCTCGCTGCAGCCCGAGGCGCTCTGCACCGACAGCAGCGACTCCCGGATCCATCCCGGGATTCCCGACCCGCTCCACGAGCCGACGTCAGCTGAGACCCCCGTGCTCTCCACTCAAGGATTTCCAGATTTCACTCAAAGTATCGTACCACTCCGGAACACGGCGTTCTCCCCGCCCTGCCAGGGTCCAGGGACTCCTCGACTGATCCGTGTGCCCCCCCCCCCCGACTCCTCGCCCCGACCTTCCACACCCCCCCCCCCATCCCCACCGGGATGTGCCCCCCACGGCGCGGCTCCTAAAGGCTGAGCGAGGACCCCCCCCCCCTTGCCCATCACCACCGTGGAGCCATGGTGAGTCCGAGTTGAGTCGCAGAGACTGCAGAGATTGATGAGTTGGGTTGATGGAGTTGATGGAGATGTAACGATGAGTTGGGTTGATGGAGTTGATGGAGATGTAACGATGAGTTGGGTTGATGGAGTTGGTGGAGATGTAACGATGAGTTGGGTTGATGGAGTTGATGGAGATGTAACGATGAGTTGGGTTGATGGAGTTGGTGGAGATGTAACTATGAGTTGGGTTGATGGAGTTGGTGGAGATGTAACGATGAGTTGGGTTGATGGAGTTGATGGAGATGTAACGATGAGTTGGGTTGATGGAGTTGGTGGAGATGTAGCGATGAGTTGGGTTGATGGAGTTGATGGAGATGTAACGATGAGTTGGGTTGATGGAGTTGGTGGAGATGTAACGATGAGTTGGGTTGATGGAGTTGATGGAGATGTAATGATGAGTTGGGTTGATGGAGTTGGTGGAGATGTAACGATGAGTTGGGTTGATGGAGTTGATGGAGATGTAACGATGAGTTGGGTTGATGGAGTTGATGGAGATGTAACGATGAGTTGGGTTGATGGAGTTGGTGGAGATGTAACGATGAGTTGGGTTGATGGAGTTGATGGAGATGTAATGATGAGTTGGGTTAATGGAGTTGGTGGAGATGTAACGATGAGTTGGGTTGATGGAGTTGGTGGAGATGTAACGATGAGTTGGGTTGATGGAGTTGATGGAGATGTAACGATGACACTTGAATTTGGAGCTTTCGTGACTGCAGGAATTATTCTTTGTTCTTTTTTTCGGTAAAGTCACGTAGAAATAATAAAATAACATAATAGTGTACGACGTTTCGATTGCAACACAAGCAATCATCATCAGGTACAGAAGAGCTAAATTTACGAGAGAGAGGAGACACATAACCGCAGATATATACAGACATACAACAGGGGATACAGAGAGAGAGAAACGTGGGAGCACACTAAATCAAATAGGTTTTAGCAAGATTTGGAAACCATATAACGCAACACAGACGGTCGGTCAAAACACAATTAACGCAAGGTCAGGTTGATTACGTTATTTTAGCAATCTTTGAAATAGCGTAATCAACCTGACCTTGCGTTCATTGTGTTTTGACCGTCTGTGTTGCGTTATATGGTTTCCAAATCTTGCTAAAACCTGTTTGATTTAGTGTGCTCCCACGTTTCTCTCTCTCTGTATCCCCTGTTGTATCTGTCTGTATATATATCTGCGGTTATGTCTCCTCTCTCTCGTAAATTTAACTCTTCTGTACCTCATGATGATTGCCTGTGTTGCAATCGAAACGTCGTACACTATTATGTTATTTTATTATTTCTACGTGACTTTACCGAAGAAAACAAAGAATGTAACGATGAGTTGGGTTGATGGAGTTGGTGGAGATGTAACGATGAGTTGGGTTGATGGAGTTGGTGGAGATGTAACGATGAGTTGGGTTGATGGAGTTGATGGAGATGTACCGATGAGTTGGGTTGATGGAGTTGGTGGAGATGTAACGATGAGTTGGGTTGATGGAGTTGATGGAGATGTAACGATGAGTTGGGTTGATGGAGTTGGTGGAGATGTAACAATGAGTTGGGTTGATGGAGTTGATGGAGATGTAACGATGAGTTGGGTTGATGGAGTTGGTGGAGATGTAACGATGAAGGGGGGGTGCGTTTTCGAGGGCGCAAAGGGTGGCGGCAGTAGTAACACGCATGCCTCTCAGCAGTAGTAACACGCATGCCTCTCAGCAGTAGTAACACGCATGCCTCTCAGCAGTAGTAACACGCATGCCTCTCAGCAGTAGTAACACGCATGCCTCTCAGCAAGAAGCCCCGAGGTTCGATCCCGACGCGGTCGTCTCTCTGTGTGGAGTGTGTGTGTGTGGGGTGTGTGTGTGTGGGGTGTATGTGGGGCGTGTGTGTGTGTGCTGAGGGAGGGTGGCGTTTGTGCACAGACTGCCCTACATGACATCTTAACAACAGTCTGGACCACTGGACGGGTTCCGCAGGATTGGAAGGAAGCTCAGGTGGTCCCCTTCTTTAAGAAGGGGGACCGCACAGACTGTAACAACTACACGGGCATCTTACTCCTCAGTGTGCCGGGAAAGGTTCTGGCAAGGATTATTCAACATCGCCTTGCTAGGCACGCTGAGGAGAGGCGTGCGGAGCCCCAATGCGGTTTTAGGAAATGGCGGTCCTGCACAGATGCCATATCTTCTGTCCGTTTGCTACAGCAGAGGTGTAGGGAATTCTAACAATACCTATATCTCTGCTTTATTGACCTGGTCAAGGCCTATGATACCATCAGTAGGCCTGGGCTCTGGGTTGTTCTTCGTGCTTTCGGAGTCCCTGACCCTCTGCTCACGATCATTAAGGACCTTCATGATGGTGAGTGGGCCCGGGTAAAACTACGTGGCCGGGAGTCAGAGCCATTCCCTGTACATCTTGGGGTGCGACAGGGATGTCCTCTGGCTCCCACATTATTTAACATCTATTTTGACCACGTAGTTCGTGAAGCCTTCAATAGCTGTACCAGGGGAATTTCCATTTGGTACAGATATAATGGGAGGCTGATCGATGCCCGGGTGCGGTCAAGGGATGGCTCCCTATTGGTATGTATGACGATGATTTGGTAATTGCTGCTAATTCAGAGGAGTTGGAGACGCTGCTGCTGAAACTGGAGCGTGCCACTAAGAGGTGGGGCCTTACCATCAGCCCCACCAAAACTAAGCACCTGCCTGGATTTTTTGTAACATCGGACACTCCACCCCCACAACTCCCAATCAGTGATGGGACAGTTGTGGAGAGAGTAGAGAGTTTCCCATACCTGGGAAGTATGCGTATGACCGGCTCCAGTTTAACAGCAGAGGTCTCACTCCGAATCAGTCGAGCGGCAATATATTTTCATCGGTTGCGTAACGCTGTGTGGAAGCTACCTGGTCTGTTGCTCCGCACTAAGCTTCAGGTCTTCTCGGCCACGGTCATTCCCTTCCTTCTCTACGCTTGCGAAACGTGGACCCCCCTAATGGAGCACCTTCGCCGGTTAGAAACATTTAGGCTAGCCTGCCTACGATCCATCCTGGGTTTAACCAGGCTGCATTGTGTGAGGAGCTCACAAATCCTTGAAAGATCTGGGCAAAGTCCCATCGGTGAGCTCCTCCGGCAGGCAAGGCTGCGTTTGCTGGGTCATGTAGCCCGCATGCCCAGCCACCGCATGCCTAAACAGCTTTTGTTCGGCCGGATAGAGGGGGCTAAACGGGCGCGGCACGGACTAGAGAAGAGATGGAGTGATGTGGTACGGGAAGACGTGGAGCTGAGTGGACTTGCCGATGACTGGTACCAGCAGTGTCAAGATCGGCCTCTGTGGAGGAGGCTCGTGAAGGACGCTACTGGGCAGTTGGAGGCAGTCGCCCTCCAACAATAACGGAGGGCGGAGGAGCGACGCTCACAACGAGCGGAGCGCCGGGTGGATAAAGCACAGCAAGTTGGCACAGTAGGGGGCACAGGTGGTGCATCAGCCGGTCATCTCGGTTATCTCAGTCAGTCGACCCGTGGCACCTGGGTCTGCCCCCTGACCTCCTGCTAGCAGGCGTTCGACACTTCACGTGGCCTCAAGATGCACATGGCCTGGCACAAACGTCGTGGTGACGTCGCCGCCACTTAGTGGCGAATGGCGGTTGTTGTTATATCTCTGTTCTGTGTGGGTTTCCAGTTTCCTCCCAGAATCCTACAAAATGGCATTGGAATTGGCTCAAAACTTGGCAGGACCCTCCTGAAAAAGACTTGAAACTGAATATCTCCTGGGCAAGGAGATCCAGCGGTGTTGTGTGGGGAGCGGTGGCGCAGTCGTAAGCGTGCTGCACTACCAACCCGTCGATCCGACATTGATTCCCCGCTCACAGCCATCATCAATGACCAATATCTAAACCGGTCATGGACCTCCCTCCCCTATGTCGACTCAGCCGTAAATTAACACCAGGAGCACCAAGCCGGGCGTGGTGCGGGCCACACCGCCTCCTCGTCGCGCGCAGTGCCAACGTCCATAGCGGCTACTCGCTTGCAGCACTTACCGCAGTATGTACTGTCGTCTGTAAGAAGCTACACGGGGGGCCTTTGTCTGTGTCTGTGCCGGGAGAGCAGCACTATGAGGACGCCTATGAGAGCTTCATGCGGCAGCATCTCAAGCACTACGGCTACTATCGCGGTGAGTTCGCTGCCACTCCCACAGCACTCACCACCATCGTCAACACTCACCATGATCAACACTCACCATCATCAACACTCACCATCAACACTCACTCAACACTCACCACCATCGTCAACACTCACCATCATCAACACTCACCATCAACACTCACCATCGTCAACACTCACCCCACCATCATAATCAACACCCACATTCATCAACACTCACGCACGCCCGTGCCTCGCACTCATCCCAGCATTAACCCACAACGCCAAATCATGACCCCCCCCCCCCCCCCCCGTATCCCGAACCCGGCCCACACCTCGGAGCAACTCCACCATTACCCCGGCAGCACGGCAGCACAAACCCTCGCCCCTAATCCCCAAATCGAAGCCAACCCTCTACCATCCCCCCAAAACAACAAACTCAAGCCCTGCAGCACCCACACTAATCGGAGCACGCGAGTGGCTTAATTCACTTAACTCACGTTAATTGATGTTGCCGTGGTAACACGTGCGGGCCTCCACCCCCCCCCCCCCCCTCCACAGGACGGAGCGAGGACGAGGAGGAGGCGAGGGGGGTCCCGCTCAGAGGTGGCCTTGGGGGGCCCAATTCTGGCCCCCCACGCAGCTCCACCTTCCCCGGCTCCCTCGCCGATCGCAGTAACGAGGAGGGGACTCGGCCCCCAGGTGGGGGGCGGGGGGGGGTGTGGTAGTGGGGGGGAGGGACACGGATCTAACTAATGAGTGACCACATGTTACGATGCTGGACCATGACCGTGACCCGAGGCCTGACCGTAACCACCGCTTACATTCAGCCGGGCTGCCTGGGCTGGTGACAGGACAATGTTACTACACACGGCACACCACGTCCAGTATGCGTGCCTCTCGCTGTGGCTACGAGTTACGTACCGGCTTCATTCTACCACCGATCCGAGCACAAGATGCTTCAAAAATATGTTAACACTTCAGAGAATTTGCAACAATACCACACGAAATGTGCCGCCTCCGGGCTCTGGAGACTTCCTGGAGAAGATTCCGGGCACGTGTTGATGGCGAACAAGTGGAGATTCTTTGACTTTTTTAAGCTATTAACATACGTTTGTTACCATGTTACAGTGTATTATCCGTTGTTTTTCCATTAAGAATGGAAGTCCCATACAAGTGTTGAAAAATAAATGAAGCACCCTATATATTTCTGTGAGATATGAAGCCCTGACCCACAACCACAGCATCCCAAATGATACCGCGATCCCTTGTCACACTCGTCTCAACCGCATCTCTGACCTCCTGACCCTGACCCCCCGCCCCCCGCCTCACCAGGCCGCCCCTCTGCGGGCCCTCGTCCGCCGGCCCCCCCGCCGTGGCGAAGCACGCAGCTGGTGCTGGAGGAGGGCGCCGGCGCCCCACGGCTGCGGGAGCCTCTGCAGGGCCCCGCGCCCAGCGCCTCGGCGCTGCCCGCGCACGCCCCGCGCTGGCCGCTCGACTGCCAGGTTGTGCCCGAGCGCGTCACCCACATAGGTGTGCGGCGGGGCACCGGGCTCACGGGGGGTCACAGAGAGGTCGGGGTCAGTGGGGTCATGGAGGTCAGGAGGGTAAGGGGACCGATGTGGGAGAAGTTAGGGACGTGGAGGGTCATAAGGTCGTGAAGGCTGCAGGGTCACGTGGTGCAGATATCAGGTCATATGGGGCTTGCGGTACCCAGGAGCGGCACCACCACCAGGCTCACCTCGACCTGGCCACCAGGGTCAGAGCATGGTAACCCCTGCCAGGGAGATCACGCGCCTGTTGTTGATGTTATTGTTCTTGTCGATTGTTGTGTGTTTACGTGCTGCTTGTTATGTTGGTTGTTGTTAACGGTGGCGTGGCTGCACGGTGACCCAAGACTGGGACCCCTCCGAGCCCGAGCCGCTGTACGAGGCCACGGGGCGTGAGCACGAGCCGCTGTGCGTGGGCGACGAAAGCGGAGAGGTAGTGTTCGAGATCGAGAAAGGTGAGCGGGTGGGTCGATGTACAAGTGACTCCGCGTCCCGCCGTGACTCCGTGTCCCCTCCCGTGACTCCGCGCCCCCCCATGACTTCACGTACCCCCCGTGACTCTGCGTCCCCCCGTGACTTCACGTCCCCCCGTGTCTCTCTCCGTGTAGCCTCCTCTGAGCGCTGCTTCGTGTCGGCGCGGATTGGGGGCCGCCGGGGCCCGCTAGTGCCGCCCCCCGCGGCCACGCGTGGGGAGGACGACTCCACCCTCCTGTTCGAGTCCCGCTTCGAGAGCGGCAACCTCCAGAAGGCCGTGAGAGTGTGAGGAGCCCACGGGGGAGAGGAGTGCGAGAGCGCGACAGAGGAGTGAGAGCGTGAGAGAGAGAGAACGTGAGCGAGCGGCGGTGATGGCTCAGACCATTAACGTCATCACTATCATCATCACCACAACCACCATCCAATTAGAATCAGAATCCGATGAGCTGTGGAGTTCCAACACGAGCGCTCTCCCCCTCCCCCCCCACTAGCGGCGAGTGGGAGTACGAGCTCACGCTGCGCTCGGACCTCTACACAGACAAGCATACGCAGTGGTTCTACTTCCGCGTGGGCAACACGCGCGCCGCCCCGCGCCGCTACCGCTTCACCATCACCAACCTGGGCAAGCCGCGCAGCCTCTACGGCGCCGGCCTGCGCCCACTTCTCTACTCGGAGCGCGACGCCGCGGGGCCGCTCGCCCTCGGCTGGCGCCGCGCTGGCTCCGAGGTCCGCTACTACCGCACGCGGACCGCGGCGGCGGGCGTCGCGGAGACGCGGGCGCGCTACTCGCTCACGTGGACGTTCTCGTTCCCGCACGAGGGCGACGAGTGCTACTGGGCGCACTGCTACCCCTACACGTACTCGCGTCTCGCCGCGCGCCTGGCGCGCATCGCCGCCGACCCGCGCGCCGCGCGCTTCTGCCGCACGCGCGTGCTGTGCCGCTCCCTCGCGGGCAACCCCGTGCCCGTGCTCACCATCACGTCCCCCGCGCCTCCTCCTCCTCGCCTCCTCGACGGCCCCGAGCGGGGGGCCCGCGACGACGGCGCCGAGGAGGAGGAGGGGGGGGGGGGCTCCGCCGAGCGCGGGGCCCGCGCGGCGCTCCTGGGCCGGGCCAAGCGCGCGGTGGTGGTGACGGCGCGCGTTCACCCCGGGGAGAGCAACTCCTCGTGGGTGATGGAAGGGCTGCTCGATTTCCTGCTGGGCGACTCGGCAGACGCGCGGCTCCTGCGCGACACCTTCGTGTTCAAGGTGGTGCCCATGCTCAACCCGGACGGGGTGCTCGTGGGCAACTACCGCTGCTCGCTCTCGGGGCGCGACCTCAACCGCAACTACCGCACCGCGCTGCGCGACGCCTTCCCCCCCGTGTGGCACCTGCGCGCCATGGTCCGCAGGTGCGGCGCCTCACCCGTCGCTATCGTCGCCACCGTCAACATCATCGTCATCACCACCGTCGTCAACACCGTCATTACCGTCACCACCGTCATCATCAAGTTCGCTATCATAATCATCATGATCACTGTCACTGTCACCATTATCATCGTCGCCGTTATACCATGACTGCCGGTTCTCCATCGTGTTTGGGTTGTGCCCCCCGCTGCCCCCGCCCTCCCAGGCTGCTGGAGAAGCGCGAGGTGGTGATGTTCTGCGACCTTCACGGCCACAGCCGCAGGAGCAACGTGTTCGTGTACGGGTGCGAGGGCGCGGCGGGTTCCGGGCACGGCCCCCGGGGGGGCCAGAGCGGCCGAGTCTTCCCGCTCATGATGAGCAAGAACATCCCCGACAAGGCAAGGAGCCCTCTTCGCTCTTCGCCGGCCGGCTCGCTCGCTTCCCACGTCCACCTCTTCGCTTATCTGCGTATATCTCAGCTTCTTCTCTCTGTGCCCACTTGTCTCTTCCGCGACCGGACGTCGTGTCTCTATGAACTGACCGGACGTCGTGTCTCTACGATCTGACCGGAAGTCGTGTCTCTACGATCTGACTGGAAGTCGTGTCTCTACAATCTGACCAGAAGTCGTGTCTCTACAATCTGACCGGACGTCGTGTCTCTACGATCTGACCGGAAGTCGTGTCTCCACGATCTGACTGGAAGTCGTGTCTCTACAATCTGACCAGAAGTCGTGTCTCTACAATCTGACCAGACGTCGTGTCTCTACAATCTGACTGGAAGTCGTGTCTCTACAATCTGACTTGAAGTCGTGTCTCTACAATCTGACTGGAAGTTGTTTCTCCACGATCTGACTGGAAGTCGTGTCTCTACAATCTGACCGGACGTCGTGTCTCTACAATCTGACCGGACGTCGTGTTTCTACAATCTGACCGGACGTCGTGTCTCTACAATCTGACTGGAAGTCGTGTCTCCACGATCTGACTGGAAGTTGTGTCTCTACAATCTGACTGGAAGTCGTGTTTCTACAATCTGACTGGAAGTCGTGTCTCCACGATCTGACTGGAAGTCGTGTCTCTACAATCTGACCGGACGTCGTGTCTCTACGATCTGACCGGAAGTCGTGTCTCTACAATCTGACCGGACGTCGTGTCTCTATGATCTGACTGAAAGTCGTGTCTCTACAATCTGACCGGACGTCGTGTCTCTACGATCTGACCGGAAGTCGTGTCTCTACGATCTGACTGGACGTCGTGTTTCTACGATCTGACCAGAAGTCGTGTCTCTACAATCTGACTGGAAGTCGTGTCTCTACAATCTGACCGGAAGTCGTGTCTCTACAATCTGACTGGAAGTCGTGTCTCTACGATCTGACCGGAAGTCGTGTCTCTACGATCTGACCGGAAGTCGTGTCTCTACAATCTGACTGGACGTCGTGTCTCTACGATCTGACCGGAAGTCGTGTCTCTACAATCTGACCGGAAGTCGTGTCTTTACGATCTGACTGGACGTCGTGTCTCTACGATCTGACCGGACGTCGTGTCTCTACAATCTGACCGGAAGTCGTGTCTTTACGATCTGACTGGACGTCGTGTCTCCCGCACAGTTCTCCTACGAGAGCTGCCGCTTCAAGGTACAGAAGAGCAAGGAAGGCACGAGCCGCGTGTTCATGTGGAGGATGGGCATCGCCAACAGCTTCACCCTAGAGACCACCTTTGCCGGCTCCACGCTAGGTGCCCCCACCCCCTCCTCGCCCCCCCCCCCCCCATAACACACCACAGAAGTTCCCACTGTTCCAAGACCCCCCCACCCCTAACCCTGGCCCCTCCACTGCCCCCGTGCCCGCAGGGGAGCGCAAGGGCACGCACTTCAGCGTAGAGGACCTGAAGTCGGTGGGGTACCAGCTGTGCGACACGCTGCTCGACTACTGCGACCCCGACCAGGCCAAGGTGATAGCTCGCGGCACGGCTCCCTGGGTCTTCCCAGATCCGCACGAGCAACTGCTTAATGTAGAGGGGAAGGAGATGAGGCTAGTTGATGATGTTGCGGTGATGATGATGATATATAATGCAGTAATTATGATCATGGGTGCTGCAGGTCGAACTGTGTGAGAGGGAGGTGATGGAGCGGCTCCGTGCTCAGGCCACAGAGCGGATGCGCAACCTCGGCAAAGACAGGGGGGGGCCCTGGGGGCTGGGCCTTTCCGACATGGAGTCCAGGTGAGGATGGACACAGGTGAGGGGAAGGGGGATACAGGTGAGGGGGGGCACAGGTTGAGGTAGGGTGCACAGGTGAGGGCTGGCACAGGTGAGGAGACACAGGGATACGGAGACACGGGGACATGGGAACACGGAGACACAGATGCAGAGACTCGTAGAATGTGACGATGCGTAACGATGTGAGGAGCGGTAGTGCAGTGGCCGAGAGTGTGCCGTGCCGGCCTTCGTAGGTGCTCGCTCACAGCACTTGCTCCTACAGTCTAAGGCTATATGGGGGATCTTTGTCTTTGTCAGCGAGAGTGGCTCAGACAGCTCGCAGTCAGATGGGCTGCCCACACACCTGCTGGCGCTGCTGCCTAAGGTACCTGCCTCGCCTCACCTGCAGGGCATGACTCACCTACCTCATCCTCACCTACCCTAACCTCATCTACCCTCACCTCACCTACCCTAACCTCACCTACCTCATCACCTACCCTAACCTCACCTACCCTCACCTTACCTACCTCATCACCTACCCTATCTTCAACTACCTTAACGTGGTGGAAGTGATAGTGATGATGACTGTGGTAGTTATGATGGTCATGGTGATGATGATAGTTACGACGACGTGCAGATGCGCGTCAAGCGGCGGCGCCTCAAGTCGCGTAAGGAGCGGAACCGCACTCGCCTGGGCCTGCTGCAGGCCGTGGGAGCCGTGGGGGCCCTGGGCTCCGGCTTCCCTCCTAACGCCGGGCCCCGGCGGGTCGGGCCCCGGCGGGGCACGACCCGGCCGAGCGGAAGGGCCCTCGTGGAGGCTGCGGCCGAGGCGGCCGGGGAGCCCGTCGGCCGAAAGGAGGCAGACAAGGTAGGGTCCGAGCGGGAGCAATCGTCGGGTCCGGTCGCCGAGAGAGCCGCGATGCCAAATCCTAAAAGCGCAGTGTCACCAAACGAACGTCAACTCGTGGCTCGATTGACCTACGGTCATTAAACGTCACCCGGACATGCGCCAAGCATTACGCGGAGGGAACCGGTGCACTTGAGGACGCGCGGTGACGTCGGGTCGAGCCGTAGAGTTGTCTGTAAATTGATGGGAGCCCCACGCGGCTCTGTGGGGCGGGCCGAGCGGTGGGGCGGTCGCCAGAGTTCGGCACCGCTCGGCTCCGTTCCATGGCCTCGCTTGCACGTTCCATCACGGGGAACGCCGAGATTACGAACGCCTCGCGGTCCTCGCAACCCGTGCGCTCTGCGGAGAAGTTGGCACGACCAGGGGTCGAGGGGGGTGCGGCCGGACTGAGGTGCGCGTGGCTTCGTGCGTGCAGGTGCACACGCAGCGCTACCGCAGGAGCGGCCCAGCCACCACCGTCACGGCCGCCGTTGGGGGCGCCCGGGGCGGGGCTGTGGCTGCGACCGTAACCCAGGTGCCGCTCCGCACGCCGCTCCCGGCTCATGCTTGCACGTCACTCCCACAGGCAAACACCTCGTGTGTGTGCCTCCCCGAGGTCAACTCGGCCTCAAATTAGTATCCACTGTGGTATGTACGTGTGTGCAGTGCGATGCGTTTGCTGCTGTGTGTGATGCGTGGTATTGGCCACCCACCCCCTCGTGTGCCGTGTCGGCCTTAATCGGCGCTGCTCGCTAACAGCACTTGCCCCAACAGTCTAGTAAAAGCTACCCGGGGGATCTTTGTCTTTGACGCATCGCAGGGCCCCCCCGGTGCACAGACCAGCATCCCCCTGGCGTATGTGGGGAGCGACCCCCTCGCCGGCGTCTCCACCCGCGCCCTGGACGCTACCGGTAGGGTCGCGGGCCGTGTAGCGGGGCCGCGGGGCCCAGACCGGTGGTGTAGTGAACGAGCGTGCAGGCGGTGCGACTGTACCGGGGCCAGTGGGCCGGGAGGGGTGAGAACCCAAGGGGATGAGTCTCGTTCGCAAGAGTGACCCGGGTCACCACAATAAGGCAAACACAAATCAAATACAGCAATGGATAAAATAGAAAGCAAGACAAAAACAACTGCGTCGTGTGAAGAAATACAAAATATCGGATGAGGAATTAATTTGATGCAGGCTCCGGACGATGAAGTGGAAGGAAGGGGGAGACGAGCACTGGGAGCAGCGATAGAGCCGAGCCAGTGAACTGAGAGGGGACAGGGAGTGGGTGAATGTGCGTGTGGGTGGGCGAGCTGGTGGTTTAGTGAGTGGATGAGTGATTGAATGGGTGGGTGAGCTAATGGTTGTGGGTGAGTGGTCGGGTGAGTGAGATGGTGACTGGGTGAGTGGGTTATTTAGCGAGTGGGATGGTGAGAGGGTTATTTAGTAAGTCAGTAAGTGGGTGGGTAGGTGAGTGGGTGCTTGAGGGGGTAATCGCATACCGAATCTCAATGAAATGAAATTGTAGAGGAGTAGGAGGGGCTCGTGTAAATACTTGCACGAGTGCCCATGCCCCCCCACTGGCTGGGAATGCGGCGGCGATGGAGGCCGCGGTGAAGTCGTCTCTGAGAGCGACCGTCTCCGATTGTTTCTACAGCGTCCGCCCAGACGCAGGCCGCCACGCCGACCCTTGACCCCGGCCACGGTGACTTCTGCCCCACGCACGGCACCTTGGCCACCCAGTACCTGAGCGGCCTGCTGGAGGAGGGCTGGGGTGAGAGCCTCAAACCGTGTCGCCCCAAACGTCGCCGATTGTTTATTCAGAGAAATACTTTTTTTTTCGTATGAAGGCAACACGCGGTGGTGTTGTGATTGACAAATGCGTCGTGTTGTTATCCTGCTCGTGCACCACTGCCAACGCAGAAGCTTCAGCCCGTGATTGGTTCGGGCTGAAGGCGGTGTTTGGACGATGATCGTCGTGAAGCGAGTGGCCCACGATCGTGTGTGCGTGTGTGAGCATGCGTGTGAGAGCATGCGTGTGTGCGTGTGTGAGCATGCGTGTGTGGCTCAAGCGCTGTTTTAATGGCGGTTGTCGTTGTGTGAGCGTGTGGTTGGAGTTGCCCGCTTTGTAAGCGGCCTCTCTTCTTGGACTCCCCCCAGGCCTGCAGTGGGAGGGCAGCGGCCTGAGCCTGCGTCACGTGACTCGTCACATGGCGCCGTCATCGCGTCGACGCATGCTGCTGGGGGGGCAGCTGGTCCTGCCCGTCTCCATGACGACCGCGCTGCCCCCGACTCCCCGCCGCCCCCCCCGCACGGCCATCAGGCAGCACCCACTGTCCTTTGATCCCTGGCTGGAGGAGGCCGGCGGCTTCCCGTCCTCCGGTGAGCGTCGCTCCTCACGGTGGAACCGGGTGGTGGGGGATGGGGGGCATATTTATTCGAGGGACCCGGGAGGGGGGCCCCGCGGAGAGTGGGCGAGGGGGGTCCCACGCGGCCTCGCTGAGCGCTCGCTGCCTCCACAGGACGGCTGCAGAGGAGCAGGGAGCCGCTGTCTCTCCTGCCGGCCACGCAGCGACCCGCCTCCGTGCGGTGAGTGACGTGTGTACGCGTGTGTGTGTCCGCGGGTGAACGTGGGTGTGTGTGTACGCGTGCGTGTGTCCGTGGGTGAACGTGGGTGTGTGTGTACGCGTGTGTGTGTCCGTGGGTGAACGTGGGTGTGTGTGCACGCGTGTGTGTGTCCGTGGGTGAACGTGGGTGTGTGTACGCGTGTGTGTGTCCGTGGGTGAACGTGGGTGTGTGTGTACGCGTGTGTGTGTCCGCGGGTGAACGTGGGTGTGTGTGCACGCGTGTGTGTGTCCGTGGGTGAACGTGGGTGTGTGTGTACGCGTGTGTGTGTCCGTGGGTGAACGTGGGTGTGTGTGCACGCGTGTGTGTGTCCGTGGGTGAACGTGGGTGTGTGTGTACGCGGGTGGGTGCGCTTAGCGCGCTGGCTTCGAACCCGGCGAGCCGAGTTCGATTCCCGCTCATGGCCAACACTAGTGATGAATATCTGAAACGGTCCTGGGCATCTCCTAGGTCGCCTCAGCCTCAGATGAGTACCTGATGCGGTATGTAAAACTTGCATCTAGGGAGACAAAGGTGTCCGTCCAAGCGTGGTGTGGGCCACCCATCCCCTCGTGTGCCATGCCGGTCTTAATAGAAACATTAGTGGAAGGCGCCTGACAAATAAATGTAAATTATTCTGACTAATTTGTTTGGAACTGCTTTTTCTGTTTAGCTGATTGTCTTTCCACCACACCTCTGATGAGCACGTTTGCCTATGTACGGTGCGAAAGAAGTTCAACATGCATACTTAGGTGCTCGCTAACAGCACTTGCCCTTGGGATCTTTGTCTTTATAACAAGTGCTCCCAAACACCACTTTCCCAAGTCTGCGTAAGCTATACTGGGGAATCTTTCTCTGCCTTTGTGTTTCTGCGTGCGTGCCTATGTGTGTCCATGTGTACACACACACGTTAGTGCACGCGTGTGTGTGTACCTGCGCGAATTTGTATGACCGGGCCTCCCCTAGTTCAACTCCGCCTTAAATACCGAGTAACTACCGCACAGCGCGCCCGTCTGCAGCATCGTTGAGTAATGGGTTGTACGCACCCCCCCCCACGCCCCCACCGTACCTATCCCTCTACCCTCTACACCGCCACAGGATGGGCCCCCTATCGCGCACCCCCAGGCCGCTGGGTGCCATCGGCTCGGGTGATGCCGGAACCCCCGAGCGGGGGCGGAAGCAGCAGCAGTCAAAGGAGCCAGCGGCGGAGAGAGCGTTCGCCGGGAGGCTGAGCCCCACGGCTACGAGGGAGCCGGGCCGGGGGGCCCTCGTCACCGTCACCGGGGCCCCGGGCCTCTCCGGAGAGGCCGGGCAGCGTGCTCCGCGCGGGGCAACGGGAGCGCCCGCGGGAGACACGGAGGAGCCGTGGTGGTATGCCGCCGCCTCGTCGCGCGCCGCATTCTCATCGCTATCACGTCGCTCGCCCACGCACGGAATCTTCACCCGAGTCTCAAGACTTTTATTCGAGGGGGTCCTGCCGATTGTCCGCAGTAGGGGGGCGCTTTCAGCAACGTCGCTGTCTCCTGCGGAGACGCGGCAGGACCCCAATAACTCGGCTGAGTGACCTGCAGGACGGTTCTCAGCGCTGAGACGTTTGTCTAACACCTGCGACAGATGAGGAAGGAAACCCACGCAGAACAGGGGGAGAATATACAGACTCAACACAGAGGGGCTCCTTCCTATATGAGGAAGCCACTGGAACTATGCACTTTTAAATCTAAATTGAAAACTAATTTCTTTAGAACTGCTTTTTATGTTTAGTTTCGTGTCCTTCCCCCGCACCTCCAATTAGCATGGTTGGCTACGTACAGTGCAAAACAAATTCAACATACGTACAGAGGCGCCCGATTCTGAAATCGAACCCAGGCCCTTGTTGGTGTGAGGCTGTGCGAGCAAGCGTCACTGCTGCGCTACTACCGCCGTGCCGCCTGTGTCGGCGTCACGCGCGGTGGCCATGGCAGTGCAGGAAGAGCGTCGCGTGTGTTGCGTGAGGGTGCTGTGAGGGCGCTGGTTGTGGGTGAGGGTTGAGAGTTGGGTGAGAGGTGAGTGTTGTGGGTGAGGGTTGAGAGTTGGGTGAGAGGTGAGTGTTGTGGGTGAGGGTTGTGGGTGAGGGTTGAGAGTTGGGTGAGAGGTGAGTGTTGTGGGTGAGGGTTGAGAGTTAGGTGAGAGGTGAGGGTTGTGAGTGAGGGTTGAGAGTTGGGTGAGAGGTGAGGGTTGTGGGTGAGGGTTGTGGGTGAGAGGTGAGGGTTGTGGGTGAGGGTTGTGGGTGAGAGGTGAGGGTTGTGGGTGAGGGTTGTGGGTGAGGGTTGTGGGTGAGAGGTGAGGGTTGTGGGTAAGGGTTGTGGGTGAGGGTTGTGGGTGAGGGTTGTGGGTAAGGGTTGTGGGTGAGGGTTGTGGGTGAGGGTTGTGGGTGAGGGTTGTGGGTGAGGGTTGAGATTTGGGTGAGAGGTAAGGGTTGTGGGTGAGGGTTGTTGGTGATGGTTGTGGGTGAGGGTTGAGAGTTGGGTGAGAGGTGAGGGTTGTGGGTGAGGGTTGTGGGTGAGAGGTGAGGGTTGTGGGTAAGGGTTGTGGGTGAGGGTTGTGGGTGAGGGTTGTGGGTAAGTGTTGTGGGTGAGGGTTGTGGGTGAGGGTTGTGGGTAAGGGTTGTGGGTGAGGGTTGTGGGTAAGGGTTGTGGGTGAGGGTTGTGGGTGAGGGTTGTGGGTGAGGGTTGTGGGTGAGGGTTGTGGGTGAGGGTTGTGGGTAAGGGTTGTGGGTAAGGGTTGTGGGTGAGGGTTGTGGGTGAGGGTTGTGGGTGAGGGTTGTGGGTGAGGGTTGTTCCCGCCGTGTGCTGCAGGGTGGACCGGACGGACGGCACGGCAGCAGAACCACGGCCACATGGACGCAGCTCGTGACTGGAGCCACGCCGCCCTCCAACCCCCCCACCCTCTAACCCCCCCTCAAACCCCCCCACCCTCTAATCCCCCCACCCTCTAACCCCCCACCCTCTAACCCCCCCCCCTAACCCCCCACCCTCTAACCCCCTCACATCCCCTCGCCCGGTGCTGTGGCTCATCAGCGCCGTCATGGCTGAAGGTGAACGTGTCGCACGGTGATCATCGCTCCTGGGATGGCCGTGACGGCAGAACGTTGCACCCACACGGAGTCCGCGCCGGAGGAGACGCACGACGCCGGCGCCTCCTTGCCCCTCGGCCGCTCCTCCTTGCCCCTCGGCCGCTGAGCTCGACCGCGATGGTTCGAGTCCCGCTACAGTAGCGGGAGAATCCGAAAAGCGCCGAGCGAATGTTACGGCCGCGTGACGTCGTTGGCGAGGGTTAGGCCGTCGTGAGTGACCATCTCAGCCTGAGGCCCCGCAAGACGACAACCAAAAGACTGAACTGTGGAACATTGCGGCCTCTGAGGGGCCAGCGATGTAACTTCTGTACTTCTGAGCGTGTCATCGACGGAGTTAGTACGACAGAGTTAGTACGACAGAGTTAGTGCGACAGAGTTAGTACGACTGAGCTAGCACGACTGAGCTAGTACGACTGAGCTAGCACGACTGAGCTAGTACGACTGAGTTAGTACGACAGAGTTAGTACGACTGAGTTAGTACGACTGAGCTAGCACGACTGAGCTAGTACGACTGAGTTAGTACGACAGAGTTAGTACGACTGAGTTAGTACGACTGAGTTAGTACGACAGAGTTAGTACGACAGAGTTAGTACGACTGAGTTAGTACGACTGAGTTATTACGACAGAGTTAGTACGACAGAGTTAGTACGACTGAGTTATTACGACAGAGTTAGTACGACTGAGTTAGTAGGACTGAGTTAGTTCGCGTGCAGTCCCGAGTCGTGGTGACGTCAGCGGTGGTGAGGGCTGCCGCGGTCGAGGAGGCTCCGGCCGTGGCAGTGAGGACCCAGCGAGCGTCTCGAGTTTGGGCCACAGAGGAAGTTGAAGATTAAAGTGAAACTGGCCGGGAGTGTTAATCGGATAACGTTTCCAAGTTTTAATCAGCTAAAAGTTGACGGTGCTGTTCTGTTTATGAAATTAAGGGAATCGTTTGCAATTATTAAAAAACAACCCCGTCAATGCGAAGGTGTTTGTCTGCGCTGATGATATTTCTTGTTGTTTGAACGCACGGCTGCAGCGGGCTCGCAGCAACGCACACGGAGCGCAGCGCCGCTCTTGGTCACAACTCCTCAAAGTAACCACATTTTCATTCTGTGCCAAGACATTACTGAAAGGTGAACGTTTGATATTCTTCTTAAAGCAATTAATGGTTAAATTCTAGAAAGTGTTGCACGTTGCAAGCTACGCTGCTTGCGCGTGGCCACGCGTCACGGCGCTGGTCACGCGTCACGGCGCTGGTCACGTGCTGTGGCGCTGGCCACGTGCTGTGGCACTCTCACGAAGCGGACGGCGGCGTGGCATGAACCCAGAGCCGTCCCGAGGGTACGGCAAATCGAGGCGGCCACCCCGGGCCCCGTGCTTTGGGGAGCACCGCGCTTCGACGTCACGGAGAGTTCTTTGTGAGCCTCGGTGTCGAGTGGCGACCGCGCCACCGCTGGGCCACGTGAACATTCTGAACATGAACTCTGCTGTCAGGCCTCGTGCCGAACACTGGAAGTGCACAATCGGTGAACCGAGTAATTCGCCTCCTGCTGAGAATACAACTAAAACCAAACAGCAGACGAACCCCGTTACCGGTGACGTACGTGGCCACCTGCAACATCGCCAGGGTAATACCGTGGTGATGATGATGGTGTCACCACGTAGCGCGACTCGCGAGGAGGAACCACAGACGAGCGGTGAAGGCAGCCGGCGCCAACAACTGCCCACGTTCTGTGCTCCTCTACATGTTAAGGTGTAACCGGGCAATTGCTGAGTGTTTACACGTGGGGAGGGGTCGGAGAATCCCCCGCGAGGGGGAACCGCTCTCTCCCAGGGCTGAACCGCCGCCGCCTTCTCGACGCCCACGCGAGAAAAGAGACTTCCACGACCCGAGTGTGTGCCGTGATCTACCAAGCCTCGCTGCCGCCCAGTTCGATAGACGCGCGCGTGTGCTGTGTGCGATGCAGCTCTCTGTATCGAAGACAAAGATCGCTCCCCCCTAGTATCGCCTTGACAGACGTTTGCGGCAAGTGCTGTTAGCGAGGAGCACCGATGAAAGCCGGCAAGGCACATGGTGCCCCTCCTTCTCCCTCGTGGCGATGTTTACACACCACCACACCAGTGACGCATTTCAAGTTCAGTCGACCGCTAAAACACGTTCCTTCGGAGTGGGCAGGTAGGAACTTGGTCGGACAGCGCATTCGTGCGATCCGTGTTGGATACTGTCGTCGTGTTGGAGGTTGTAGCTGTAACTATTGCATCTGATGATGATTCTTGATTTATTGCTGATGTTGGTCTTTCAGTTCATGCAGCTGCTGCTGCTGCAGGTCGCGCCTGTGCTGTGACGCCGCCTCCTGCGTGTGCCACGCGTGCCAATCCACCTGACCTGGTCCTTGAACGGCCACGATGCCGTCGTGATCGCGCACCACGATGCACGATGTTGAGCAGGGCGTAGCCCCCGCAGTCGGAGTCGTTCGGTTGCTGCGGCACAAGCATCGTGGCGATCGCCACCGGCGTGCTCACCGGATCGGCCACCACCGCGCTGGCCAAGGCTGCGATGCTCTTGGCGTTGCGTGACTGCCCCCGCGCAGCCATTGAGTCTAACAGCATGGCAGTCGACCTTCGTGGGCACGTGGCGTTGACGATGACCAAGATCTGCCAGTGCGGCTGCTCGTGAGAAACTCCAATTGATGAAATTCCAGATATGCACGACAGACAGACAATCCCTGGTGGGCAGTGTGGAACCTGCATGACCATAACGGTCCCAGCATTCATCAGCCCCTCGTGGTGTGAGGGGTAGCACCGGAGCCTTTGCAGTGCGTACCCCGGGTTCGAATCCCGCGATAAATTTTTTAACGTCGTTATATTAATGCATGACGTCACGAAAGACGTGATGACGTCACCACACTTAATTGTGTCGCGCAATTATTCATACTACGCGATGACGTCTTTACCCACGCTGACACGTCCACGTGGGCAGTGCAGTCACTTTCCCAGTGCTAGACACCTCGAGGGTCTCCTTCATAAGTGAGAAATGAGAGACGCAGTCAACGGAGGAGGAACAGAAAAACGACACGAACTCTCTGCGAGAAGCCCTCTCGTCGTGTCCAGCAGAGCTGCACGTTGGCATTGAGCTCCTGACGACGTTGCCAAGACACTCACATCGCACGCGCAATGTCACCACGAGATGACATCATCACGCTACGTGTAGCCTTGGGACGCCTCCAATGTTCGATGGCTGAGTGGGGAGCACGCGAGGCTGGCAATTAGCGAGTCCCGAGTTCAACTCCAACTTTTACAAGTTTATTTTTTTTACGACCGATTCTTAAAATACACGCTGAACGATTTTCATGAATATTTTATTAAACATTTTTTTTTACAAATCTGCAATGACAATGTTGAGAAAAGACGATTATATATAAACCAGAACATTCAGAGCATCTATTACACCCACATAGTCTAATGGAAAAGAAAGCTGCCTCTTATGTTGGGAACCTGGGTTCAAATTCAAGGTTTTATTTTAAACAATTAATATGTTGCGCGATGATGTCATCACGATTGTTTAAAACAGCCACGTGCGCGCAGTGCAATCACTACACGCACAAAGTACCGTGTGTCTGTATGAGGCCTCGGTGGCGCAAGGCGATGCGCAGACAACCCTGGAGCCCTCAGACGACGGGTTCGAATCCCGGCGAGCGGCAAATATCCACGAACACAAAGGCTGCACGACCACAAGGTGATAATGCGTTTGTATATCTGTGCCTCGTCTCTATGTGCAATAATACTGCGTGAGTGCTTCTCTGTATAGGTGTGGGCGCAAGAGGACAGAAGATTGGAGTCGAAGGCGTGGACCACCACCTTGGGAAGGAGACCTGGAAAGGCGAGGAGAAGATGCATGGAAGAGAAAAATGAAGTAAATTTTTTGTAAATGTCACCAATACATTTTGACCACTAGGGGGCGCTTCCACCGCTAGGGGCGCTGTTCACTAGGGGGCGCTGTTCTATGCAGATCCCCATTGAAAATGTCAGTTTATTCCAATTAGACGCATTTACGCCGGTTCTTCGGGGTATTGCAGCTGCACGCTGTGGTTTTTATGCACAATCTCGGTGGAAACTCCACACGCAAGGAAAAGTGACATTTACAATGACCCACGCAGACATAGTTTCAGTGGAATTTGGCATTAAAACTGATATTTCTACAACAAAATACGACCACGAACACGGTTTGCCTGAGAAAACTTCCGTTAAATATTATAAAACCGGCTACATCTGGCTGTTTATATCTTAAAAAAAACCGTAAAACAGCTAAGTATCGTCAAAAAATCGCAAAAACCCCCCACCACGAATTGTAAAATGCACTCATCCAGCAGTGGATTTACGATATTACTGCACAGTGACCAGTAAGGGATTATGAATGTTACTGACTCCACGCAGCTCTTTAAAAATCACGAGGGTTACCGGTAATAACCTCTTTCACGTCAACATTGGCCGTAAGCAAACAACCATGGCGTCTAAAAGGCAAGAGTCAACTTTAAGTCCTCAACAACAATTACGAACATCACAGTGAGTGAGCAAACACGAGGAGACCACCCTCCTCTCCCCGTCTCTCCCCTCTCGTCTCGCTCTCCTCCCCGTGCTCTCCCCCCTCTCACCTTGCTCCACTCCGCTCGCCTGTGGCTCCTCCACTTCAGCGGCCGAGGCATCCTGGCCCAGACCCCAGCCCAAGCTCCACCCCACCGGTGTCTCCACTCCCTCTCTGTGGAGCCGCCTCTCCCCGCGACTCTCTCCACGGAGCGGCGCCCCTCTCCCAGTGCGCGCGGCATTTCCCCTCCTGCCCCCCTCGCGTGCCACGAGCAGCAACAAAGCCCCGCTCCGATGTCTCCCCTCGCTGCCAGGACAATCGCGCCGCCCCGCGTCTGTTCGCCGCCTCGAGACGCAGTCGTTGCACGCCCGCGGGACGCTGCCCGAACTCCACACGGGCGCTGCGCCGAGGGATTCTTCGCTGCGAGTGTCGCCCTCCAGTGGCGTGGGGGACGCGGAGCCCCTGAGTTGAGGGCGAGCGGTTGGCTCCCTGACCCTGGTGCACACAGCGCAGCACTCAGCCCGTGTGTGACTGCCTCTGTGAGAGCCCCGTGCCGTCTGATTGTGGAAATAAACCCTGGCCGTGGTCACCCGAGGGATCACCCGAGAGATCACCCGAGGGGTCACCCGAGGGATCACCCGAGGGATCACCCGAGGGGTCACCCGAGGGGTCACTTGGGGCGTCTGTTCACCTCTCTCGCCTGATTGTCTATGACGAGGTTCACGCGCGACAGTCGCCGCTCCTCATTCCGCGTGAGAAATTCACCACCAAACCGCGGGGCTGCGTGGCTACCAAGGTTGGAGTGAAATCCAACGCTGTCCTCATGACAGCACGGTCCCTTCACCTGATGAAGGCCACTTGTGTTGTGGCCGAAACGTCGTGATTTTTGTTATTTATTTTTTTACCTACGTGACTTTACCGAATAGAACCAAAGACTATGGATCCTTGCAGTCACGAAAACTTCAAATCTAGAATTAAGCTGTAATCAGCCTGGATAGTGCTCGGATGGACGACTACCACGCATCACACGTGTTAGAGGCTGTCCGTCTATGCTCCCCACCAACCTGTACTGATCAATGAGGTGAAGTATGGTCAAACAACAGCCACGACCGACACGGAGTGGACAGGCCTTCATCCAGTCAGACCGCGAGGGGCGCAACTCCGCCCGAGTGGACACGAGCAGCCCCAGGCCAGCGTCGCGCCTCCCCCGACTCTCCCATTCACTCCGCACCCCGCCAGCAAAGCGTCACTCGGCGCGGATCCAACACAAACATCGCCCACTGGGAGGCGGCAACTCACGCTTGAGACGGCTCCAGGTGCAGGGTCTCCAGGCTCCATGTGCAGGGTGTCCAGGTGCAGGGTGTTCAGGTGCAGGGTAGCCAGTCTCCATGTGCAGGGTGTCCAGGTGCAGGGTGTCCAGGTGCAGGGTCGCCAGTCTCCATGTGCAGGGTGTCCAGGTGCAGAGTGTCCAGGTGCAGGGTAGCCAGGTAAAGGGTCTCCAGTCTCCATGTGCAGGGTCTCCAGGTGCAGGGTGTCCAGGTGCAGGGTCTCCAGGCTCCATGTGCAGGGTCTCCAGGCTCCATGTGCAGGGTCGCCAGGCTCCATGTGCAGGGTCTCCAGGCTCCGTGTGCAGGGTCTCCAGGCTCCATGTGCAGAGTCTCCAGGCTCCATGTGCAGAGTCTCCAGGCTCCACGTGCAGGGGCTCCAGGCTCCATGTGCAGGGTCTCCAGGCTTCATCTGCAGAGTCACCAGGCTCCATGTGCAGAATCTCCAGGCTCCATGTGCAGGGTCTCCGGGCTCCATGTGCAGGGTCTCCGGACTTCAAGTGCAGGGTCTCCGGACTTCAGGTGCAGAGTCTCCATGTGCAGGGTCTCGATGTTCTATATGCACGGAGCTGTGAACTCTATGGCGCCCCACAGCGTCTGTATTTGAATCGCCCATCTCATTGGCTGCACATAGCGGTGTCTGTCCTATAATTTGCTTACTCGCCACCCCTTCACCTTCACGTCCCAGAGACACCACAACCCAGAGTCTGTCTGTGTCTGTCGATACTCTGCGGTCCCGGGAACCTTCCACAATCTACGTAACCTCTCACCCCAACCTGGAATAGAACCGAGACCCCAGAGCTTTTTAGTCGTGCTCGACCTGTGTCGGGAAGCTGTTGAAATAACTCACCTGGCCAGTTTTGCGGGTTCTTTACCTGTGCACGACAGGACCACGTGTGTGCCTGTACACAGAGCGGTCGTACAGCCAACACCAGTGACGACACCGGTTCAAATGATCGTCACTGGTGTTGGCCGTGAGCGGGAATCGAACTCGGGTTGCCAGGTCCGAAGCGCAGTGCGCTTACTGCCGTGCATAAGGTACACACATAAGGTTATCACAAAACACACACGTGGCCTTACGTCACCACGTAGGATGGACTAGACTCGTCTCGCATTGAGTTTCAGACGTAGGGTTAGAAGTTACGGAGATTGTGTGAAGTTTCCCCGGACCGCAGAGTATCTGCACAACCGGTTAGACTCCGGGCTGTGGCGTCTGCGGGACGTGTCCAGGTGAAGGCGTCGCGTGCAGATAAATCATAAAACAGTCACCACATGCGTAGCCACTGCGATAGGAGATTTAAACAGAGGTGATGCGGGACGCCATGGAAATTCAATTAAGAGACAAGACAGCCAGAGCCACACAGTCCCGTGCGTACAGCCCCTAGAGCCTGGACACCCTGCACCTGGACACCCTGCATCTGGAGACCCTGCACCTGGAGACCCTGCACCTGGAGACTGGCGACCCTGCACCTGGCTACCCTGCACCTGGACACCCTGCACCTGGACACCCTGCACCTGGACACCCTGCACCTGGAGACCCTGCACCTGGCTACCCTGCACCTGGACACCCTGCACCTGGACACCCTGCACCTGGAGACCCTGCACATGGAGACTGGAGACCCTGCACCTGGCTACCCTGCACCTGGACACTCTGCACCTGGACACCCTGCACATGGAGACTGGCGACCCTGCACCTGGCACCCTGCACCTGGACACCCTGCACATGGAGACTGGCTACCCTGCACCTGAACACCCTGCACCTGGACACCCTGCACATGGAGCCTGGAGACCCTGCACCTGGAGCCGTCTCAAGCGTGAGTTGCCGCCTCCCAGTGGGCGATGTTTGTGTTGGATCCGCGCCGAGTGACGCTTTGCTGGCGGGGTGCGGAGTGAATGGGAGAGTCGGGGGAGGCGCGACGCTGGCCTGGGGCTGCTCGTGTCCACTCGGGCGGAGTTGCGCCCCTCGCGGTCTTACTGGATGAAGGCCTGTCCACTCCGTGTCGGTCGTGGCTGTTGTTTGACCATACTTCACCTCACTGATCAGTACAGGTTGGTGAAGGCAGGGAGCATAGACGGAGAGCCTCTAACACGCGTGATGCGTGGTGGTCGTCCATCCGAGCACTATGCAGGCTGAAGCCCACTTCGCTTTTGAAATTTCGTCGTGTTAATTTTACTATACAGAAATATATTATAACGTTGCCTTGTAAACAGACGCCCCAAGCGACCCCTCGGGTGACCACGGCCAGGGTTTATTTCCACAATCAGACGGCACGGGCCTCTCACCGAGGCGGTCACACACGGGCTGAGTGCTTCGCTGTGTGCACCAGGGTCAGGGAGCCAACCGCTCGCCCTCAACTCAGGGGCTCCGCGTCCCCCACGCCACTGGAGGGCGACACTCGCAGCGAGGAATCCCTCGGCCCAGCGCCCGTGTGGAGTTCGGGCAGCGTCCCGCGGGCGTGCGGCGACTGCGTCTCGAGGCGGCGAACAGACGCGGGGCGGCGCGATTGTCCTGGCAGCGAGGAGAGACATCGGAGCGGGGCTTTGTTGCTGCTCGTGGCACGCGAGGGGGGCAGGAGGGGAAATGCCGCGCGCACAGGGAGAGGGGCGCCGCTCTGTGGAGAGAGTCGCGGGGAGAGGCGGCTCCACAGAGAGGGAGTGGAGACACCGGTGGGGTGGAGCTTGGGCTGGGGGCTGGGCCAGGATGCCTCGGGCCGCTGAAGTGGAGGAGCCACGGGCGAGCGGAGTGGAGCAAGGTGAGAGGGGGGAGAGCACGGGGAGGAGAGCGAGACGAGAGGGGAGAGACGGGGAGAGGAGGGTGGTCTCCTCGTGTTTGTTCACCGCTGTGATGTTCGTAATCCGAGTTCACGATGACCTATATCGTTCAGTGGGCCTCACCTGGTCAAATTAAAAATAGTTCTCTTTTTAGTTTAAAGTTGCTTCTTGCCTTTTAGACCCCATGGTTGTTTGCTGATGGTGAACGTTGCTGTGAAAGCATGGGTTGTGAAGAGTTGCCGTGTAGTCAGTAATGTTCATAACCCATTACTGGTTCCTCTCCGTGTGGGTATTTGTGGTTAATATTTGGCGATACTTCACTGTTTTGCGTTTTGTAATATTCCACCGAATTTTTCTCAGATGAATCGTGTTTGTGGTCGTATTCTGTTGTAGAAACAACAGTTTTAGTGTCAAATTCCATTAAAGGCATGTCTGCGTGGTCATTGTAAACGTCACTTTTACTGTGTTTTCCTTCCGTGTGGAGTTTCCACCGAGATGCTGCATCAAAGGACAGGGTACAGCTGCAATACCCCCAACAACCGGCGTAAATGCGTTTATTTGCAGTAAACTGGCACTTTTAATGGGGATCTGCATAGAACAGCGCCCCTAGCGGTGGAGCAGCGCCCCCTAGTGGTCAAAATGTATTGTAACATTTACAAAAAAATTCATTTGTCTGTTTCCAGGTCTCCGTCTCAGGTTGTCCACCGCCTTCTACTCCAATCTCCTGCCCGCACCCACACTGAGAAGCACTCACGCAGTATTATTGTACACAGAGACGAGGCATAAGATATACAACGCATCACTCATCCTTGTCGTGAGGCCTTTATTCGTGGATATTCGCCGCGCGCCAGGATTCGAACCCGTCCTTTGCGGACTCCAGGGTGGCTGCGCAGCAGCCTTGAGCCACCGAGGCATCACACAGACGCACCCTGCTTTGTGTATTACATCGTCGTCTTTTTTAATATCGTCATTGCAGTTAAATTTTTAATGTATAAAAAAATCTATGAAATAAAAAAATCGCTTAGCGTGGTTTTGTTTTAAGATTCGGCAAGTTCAAAAAAGAAAGTTGGATTTGAACCCGGGACTCAAAAATTAAGCAGCCTCACATACTCTCCACTCGCCCACAGAGTGTCGTTGACACCACAGGGCTACACGTGGTGTTCGTGATTTCACTGCAGGCATGTGAGTGATAGTCATCTCGTTACATTAATGGCATGGCAGGTATCATGGCAATGTGATAGGAGCTCACTGACAATATCGCGACGAAGAGGGCTTGAAGGCAAGAGAGTTCGTGCAGTTTTGCTGTTCCTCAATCGAAAGAGGGCAGACCAGTGGTTCACGAGACGGTCCAGTTTGGGTTGCATGGCCACGATAGCACTCCAGTGGCTTGTCTTTAATTGTCCACACATGAAGATGTGTGCATCCGCCTGCTGATGTTCTGATGCAGTTGATGGTTCCATCAGTGTCTTCAAGGAGGAATGGTCCAAAACAGGATGTGCGATGTTCCGAGCCTCGAATTAAAAGTTCATTCTGGTCGTCCGCGTTGTTCCACTGTTTGCACAGCAGCGTGCTTCTGGACTTGGGTGAGATTCTAGGATGATGATCGCAGCAGCAGCAGCGCGGTGCAGTGTTGCTAGGCGATGAAGTTAACTGAACGACCTCGTTACCCGATGGACAAGCATCGTGGCCAAGACGAGTCTGGGATTTGATCTCCATCAAGCGGCTTCAAAGGAAGCCGTGCCTATCCACCGCACCACGTGGGCCTGGTAGTTAATATTATGGATGTTTTTGAAACTGATTATGCAAAATGTGCTGCCCTGAGTTTTTGATCCGCATGCATCGCTGATCTTAACCAAGAAGGGGTGGGTTTGAACCAGACCTGGGTGACGCACGGACACTCACGCACTCTGCTTGGCCACCATGAGGTTCTGATTACGATCACGGCCACTTGCATCCACGGCTTTGTTTATGTCCAATATTATGTAATTGTGCATTTAAACTCCGACCCATACATAACAGAGCAGGTTCTTACCGATTGCGTCTGGCAGTTTCACAAGCGTTGGTTCAAGCAATCCTGACTCTTATTCTATGGGTCTTTCGGTAAAGTCACGTCGATAGAAAAAAAAATATCACGTTTCGATCGCAAGTGTTGCGATCAATTGCTTGTGTTGCGATCGATTCGTCGTGATATTTTTATGATTTTTTTTCTATCTACGTGACTTTACCAAAAGACCCCAAAGAATAGGAATTCCTGCAGTCACGAAAGCTTTAAGTGAAGATTTAATCCTGACTCTGCTCTTTCCTTCCATACTCCACGTCCTACCATGCCGATAGGGTACCCCGGATACAGAACCCCCGATACGGAATCCCGATACCGACGTGGATTTTCCAAGTCCTGCTGTGTATCGCTAGTTCTAAACATAGCCAGTGTTATTGCACACTTCAATTCAAACAGAGTTGCATCGATCCAGCCGGACTCAACGTGAGGATGAAACACATTTTTGGGCAAAAATGTAAAAGATTGAGTTTCTCTAAAAAAAAGGTAATATTTTTCATAAAAAAATTATGGGTAAAATTATATTGATCTATTAATAGCAAATAATTAACGTGATGTTGAAAACAGAGTTTAATATTAAAATTATGGTTAAAGTGAATGTGAGTACTTGTGATGTACTCTGCTTCAGGTGCACTCTTAATGAGGTGGCTGTTTAACTTTTGACTGAACACAGACTGAACATTGATGGTTTAGTTTGTCAGATTTTCTGAAAAATGTAGAAATATTTCACAAAAGCTCAAGAGATGAGATTGATGCATGTGCCCTAAACGATCGTTACACACCGCACCAGGTACTCATTTGATACCGAGTCAACCTAGGGGAAACCGAGGACTGGTTCAGATAATCGTCACCAGTGTTCAACGTGAGTGGAAATCTAACTCTAATCGGTGGATCCATAGCGCAGCGCGTTACACAGCCACATCACACACACAGCGAGATGGCAAGACACCTTTTAATGTTTATTCATGATACCTTAAACTCCACGCAACAGGCAGAAATCAGTCATACGGGACGCACTGGGCTTGTCTTAATTACAAAATAACAACAAAAGCAAGATGCTTCATTTTAGTCTCAACTGCGTGGTCCGTTGTTCGATACAAAATGTCTCCCTGCTGACGTTACTTTGCCCCAGATTTAACGGCCGATGCCAGACCCCCTCTGGCAAAACAGCACGGTGACACGAAAGCCCGCCACAGCCCAGCAGTAGCGAGATGTTGCTCACTCCAAATACATGAAGTCTGAATTCAGCACGGCCTTGCGGAAGAACAGGCTCGATCCACGCTTCAGTTGTCCCTGCAGGGCCCAGGGCACACGTACATAGACAGGCAATCACGTCACCACTTCCACGCACACGTGATTACACGGTGACAATCATGAATCACTGCCTCAACTCGACCATAATGCACAAACACCACCTCCACCACGCATTCTGCAAACTCGCATACAGGTAGTAAAATGCTCTGGCACTCTCATCACAGATCATGTCTGTCCCGGTCAGCACGGCGGGCACGGGAAGAGGGCGGCAT